AAAGTGAACAGAAGTAAATGATCAAGATAGGATTTTTTTCATGAAATGTGAGATTCAAACCAGTATTTCAGTATGAACTACTATTGGTGTTCCAAGACTGGGATTAGTGTTCTGCACACGCCTCAGTTTTTTAAATGGACCTAAAGGAGAAATGTCTGTTGTAGAGATGATCAGTTAGTTTTTGTTTTGAAGAAAGAGATATATAGACTTTCATAAAGAACTGCTTGCCCTTGGGGCTGTACAGGACTCCTTCCCTCATTTTTCATGGAACACGACCAATTACTTCCTAGGCGATCATGATACGTTTTGTGTAATCTCTACCATCCCCCTTTAGTTTTGTCGTGGCCTTCATCGAGCAGAATGGCCTGCAATCCCTACTCGACTTTCTCTCCAAGATGGACTACCAGATCTCAGAGGGACCCCTGCACACTGCAGTGATAGGCTGCATCAAGGCTCTCATGAACAACTCGGTAGGTTTAAATGTTACCAAACTCTGTGTACATCTTGTTGATTGGTGGTACACATGAACAATTCATTAGGATGTATTGTTGTGCTTCCAAACACTTGTTTACCTCTGATTGGATGAGTGCGAGATGGGGCTTACTCTTCTCACAGGGCCAACATTTTTAGACCTTTTTTTTTTCTATTAGTAATATAGCGCCCAATAAACACATTTTACTATGCATTGCTTACAGTGCAGTGATGTAAAGTACTCTCCGAAATAACAAAAAATGAGCACGGATGTGTGAACAAACATCTATTCATCTGCATCTCCCAAAGTCGTGACGATCAGAGCATATTCGACTTTTCAATAGCCTTTCAAGAATTGTGTGTTTTCAAAGGCGTTCAGTATACATACATAATTATACATTATGTTTGTAGTACGTACATACATACGTATAGGCAGGCAGGCAGGCAGGCAGGCAGGCAGGCAGGCAGGCAGGCAGAAACACGCACATGCTCGTCAATTTTGGGGTATATGGTGTTCTTGTATCATCTTGGGCTTGAAACATTTGACTTGATGGAAAACAAACTGTTTATCTTGATTTGTAGTCGGGGTATTTGCAATTGAAGGAAATGGGGTCACCTGGTTTCAGAGCTAAAATAAGGAAGATAATGGCCGCCAAATTTTGATGACTTCAAAAGCTTGAGCGTTTTGGGGCAATAAGGTCCACTCAGAAATGTATTTTTGAATTGACCTCAAAGGTGCTGATTAAAAATTGTTAAACTAGCAGAAAAATGCGGTATTCTTCAATTTCTTTATTTTGTCGAGAACCCGATTTCATCACAATGCCTCACATATATGTGTGTGTGCTGAAATCAGGCACTCTTCAATTTTTGGGCATATAGAATTATTGGTATCACCTTAAAGCTTTTTTTATTTGTCTTGCCAATGATGTAAAAAATACCCATCTGTCTTGAATAGAAAGAGAGATATTTGCAATGGAAAGAGGTGGTGGTCGCTTGATGTCAGAGGAAAGATTAGTGAGAAAATGTCTGCCAAAGTTTGATGACTTCAAAGCTCAAGTATCATTGAAACTGCAAATTAATTTACATTTTTTGTACCTCTGATCAAAGTTTTTCAGCAAAATCCGCACAGAAATTTGTTTTTATTTGGACATAAAAAGTGTTGAGTCAAAATAATTGATAAAGATTGCCCAACAAGTGGGAAAATGTTGGTTTCTTCGCTTTCATTAATTTGACAAGCATCTGATTTCACACACACACACACACACACACACACACACACACACACACACACACACACACACACACACGCGCGCACAGAGAGAGTGAGAGAGAGAGAGAGAGCCATGGTAAAACAAACACTGGGTCGCCACCACTCGAAGAATTCGCGCACACTTCTCTCGCAATTTCATATTAACGTCCATTGTTAGGCCTACTTTGGTACAGATTAGGTAAACAAAACAGTGACCAGCCACCTCACATAAAATTTGTGTATGAGTTGTCGGCGGGGACTGTAGGTTATGAAGGATCACATGCTTCCCTCACCAGCTGTTGAAAATTTATTGTTCCCATTGGTCAACTTGGGTAACCATTCATTGGAAGGACTAACAATAATGACAGGGGACCTATTTAAAGTTTATGACAAAGCTTCGGGCAATTCTAGACCACACCTGGCCGTTTAAGGCAGGTAAAATTGGCCATGGGTAGATAAAATAAGGTGGCCGCGGAAGCGTTGGACAGGCAACCGTTCTGCACAGTTAAAGTATACAGAAAAAACGCAGATATATAAAGAGTAGTCTCCGCCTGAGATCCCGGTGCTCGGGAGCAAAGGAAATGTGGGATCTGAGGCAAACTGGGATCTTAGCCGACCCAGGATCTTAGCTGTGACGAACCCAGGGAAGAATCTATGGTAACCCATGTTAAGGCTCATAATCAGTAAAATGGTCTCTCTCCACTCTAAAAAGAAGTGGCGTGCCCCCTGGGTGGGCTTATGACATATGGTGAGCAAAGAGTGGTTAACCTTGATGACCTATCACAGTTCATAGTGGCATGAGGCATGCCATTTTCACTTATTATCCTATCTTGAGTCTCAAGATCAACGCTTATCCAGTTGCCCCTCCCCCTTCCCTGTCGAAAATGTATAGCTTTCCTTCTCTGACCAAGTTCCCTCGCCTTTATCGTTATGCACCATTACGTTGAGACCACATAAATTAAAATTCAGTCTGTCTCACAAGCTCGGGAATAGAGAAAACTGCTGCAATGGTCAGGGTAGAGTTCACAGCACAATGTGGTCCCGCCTGGAACGAAGTGATGTAAGTTTAGGTGGAGAGCTCAGGAGAGATCCCATCTGGGGCAAACATGTACTGTTTTATCAAGTTTAACAACGCTTATGTGATCACATTCACGAGAGCGGCGGATCTTTGACGCGACGGGCAGTTCATTGATCCCAACTTTTCACTCTTGGTTGATCGGCTGTGCCCGCCCAGGTGTTTGTTCCATATATTATTGTCAGAAATGCGGGATCTTAGCCGAATGTAGACCTTCAGAGTGGATCAGAGGGGATCTTAGGAGTGGCTTTTGTATAGTAAAAAAATTTTTTTCTTGAAACAGCGATGCAAAACGGGATCATAAGCGATGGGATCATAGGCGGAGACTACTATAATTTAAAAACAGAAATGACTTTAGTTGACATTTGAATGAATAAAAAGATTTGATCTCTCTTAAACCACTGTGCAAAGTGTTCTAGATCTTGGGGCATGGTATATAAATGCCCTTTGACCCGTTATTTAAGTTTTATAGATGTTAAAAGAAATTTCTTGTTGTCAGCAGATGTCCTTAAACTGGAATAGGCCTATATAGTTCCTACAGATTTGATTAATATAGTTGCGCTTTATCATTAAAACATTTGTAACCTACAGAGGCCAGCTTGTACATAAATATCTGTAAAAAACGTGTAGCAGAGTCTCGCTTTCTTTTCTGTAAAGGTAAATGGGCAGCATTGTTTTGAACAGTTTGACAATCACCTTACCCTCTCATCTACAGCAAGGTCGTGCTCATGTGTTAGCTCACCCTGACTGCATCAACACCATTGCCCAGAGTCTGGCTGCAGAGAATGTCAAGGCCAAGGTTGCTGCTTTGGAGATCTTGGGGGCCATCTGCCTGGTACCTGGTGGTCATCGCAAGGTGCTCAATGCCATGTTGCATCTCCACAAGTATGCTGGTGAGAGGACACGCTTTCAGGTCAGTTCTTCAACTAGCAGTACAACTGATTTTATGAGTATGTCACTATTTTTCCTTTCTTCATAGTCCCCCTTGCCTTTAGGCAGCCACATTCCTGTTTTGAAGGAACTTTATATGCTATCATACTGACTAGAGTATTTTCAGTTTTGGTAGGAATTAAGTTTGAATTTTGCTCAGGTGACTGCCGAAGCCTTCTCTTATCACTTTTAGAACCACCAAGGAATCTTTAATGTGTGCAACTTGCACACGAGACCTCCAAGATTTTTCGTCCTCCGAGAAAACTAAGTGTTCCTGAGATCAGGAGTTAGGAGTAGCAGTAGAAAGAATCACAAGTAAAGAAGAGAGGAGCCCACAGGAGGTCATGGGTGTGTGGGTGAGGTGGGGGAGTGAAGGTAAAGGCAGATGATTAAACAGGAAAAAGGAGGTGAAAAGAGTACATGTTTTCATGGCTGTGAGGTTCAAGCCAGGGACCTTTTGAAAGAAAAGCAAACGCTGTACCACTAGACCATGACAGCCCCCTCTTTGTTTGTATTCTTTAAGGGACTGTTAAATCTATATCATCATTATTGGATTTTAACATTAACTGTGGTGCTCAAAGAATGAATGCCATAAAGAATGCAAAGGTCTATGCATTAATAAAGAACACAGAGGAAGTTTATGATCTCTTTCAGGTCTTTGTGCTATGACTGAATGAGAGTTTATAAAGGTTCAGATTATATGTGTGTGAGTGTGTGTGTGTGTGTGTGTGTGAAAGAGAGTGAGTGAGAGAGACACAGAGAGACAGAGAGGGAGAGACAGGGAAATATTGTTTTTCTTTGTCTTTAAAGTTGATCGTTGAAATATTCCCTTTTCTTATTTTCCCAACTCAGCTTCTCATGTGTGACCTGGACAAAAACACAGGAAAGTACAGAGATGAAGTTGCCCTCAAGACCGCTATCATGTCCTTTATCAATGCTGCTCTCAAGTACGGGGCTGGACAAGTGAGTCGCAACGTCATAGTTCTTCCCTCTTTCACCCAGATTATATGACCTTATTGTGTTGCAAGTGCCGTAAAACTCTTACTAGAACTTTCACCCAGATTCATTTTTTATATCTTTTGTTTATATTACCGTAGTTTGAATTATTTAGTCATAATAATAAAAAATATATTACCCTAGTTTGAATTATTTAGTCATATTATTTATAATAATTTGTCTTCTTGGACGTGTTTGTAGCTTAGTTAACAAAATTCTAAAGCTTGTAATGAAATGCATTGAACTTCCCAAGACTTAATAACAGGATGTACTTTTCACATGAAGGAGAAAAGATATTTAGCTAGAATTTAAAGTTGCAAAGCAATATAAAGCTTTTAGATTAACTCACCTTTTCCTACTGTTTGCAGACTAAATAGTTAAGAGTGATGTTATTTTGACTTCTTCTTTAAACATGGGTTGAGCCAGCTTCCAAATAAATACCTTCAGTGGTCAGTTAATGTTGCTGTCCTGTAGCAGTGTAATTCCCACAAGGGGGCACTTTTTCATCTGGAAAGGTGCAGTTGTATCGAATTCATTTTCAAATCAAAGACTTTGTTCTATTTCTAATTTTTTTCATTTCCCCATTATTTTTTTCTCCCAAGGACCATCTGGAGTTCCGTCTTCATCTGCGCTATGAGCTCCTGATGCTTGGCATTGTTCCGATCATGAAGAAAATGCGCTCCCACGGGAACTCAACTTTAGACAGGTACACATTTTTGGGAGATTTTCAAGATAATCATTTTATTCGTACACTACGCCGAGCCATGGGGAGCGGCGCGGCTAAAGTGCCGTCAGTACACTAAGCCGCCCCCGGCAGCTCGAGCACCGACCTATAATTCTAGCTTAGATTTTATTCCAATCCACATATCCATGTTAAAATAAAGGTTATAATATAGCATTGACTTCCGGGTCAAGCGTTTCCACCAATAATCGGAAGTTTAGATTCACTTTTGAAACGCGATTTCGTAGTTTATGCTACTTAGTTTTATCGCGAAGCCCAGATTATAGCCCAGACACCAGTCTTAGTACTTTTACACAACAAAATGTATCGTTATTTTTCTCTCTAAAAAAATGTAGTACTCTTATTAATAATATTGATACTATTATTGCCAGTGCACTGTTATTGAGAAATCAATATTTTTGAGTGCTAAAATATTTTTTTATGCACAAAAACTACTTTTTGGTGAAATTACACAAAAAGTACCACTTAAGACATGTATAGGTTTATTCCAAATGCAATTCCGAATAATTCCATATAAGATACAAGTGTTTTTTTCTGTTTGTGAATGCATCTTGTCCTTTTTTCAAGATTACAAAATTTGTTTTATTTTTTTTCAATATCGGATGTTATGATCCAAATGTACACATTTTATGGAATGTAAGCAAATAACTGCAAATTTTTCAATATTTTCCAGTTCTATATTCATTTATGGTTATTTTGATGTATCATTTGACAAGGTGCCAACTTATTTTTTGAGTTTCACCAAAGATTATTTGTTTTTTATTTTCAAATTTTATCTGCATCCAGGCGAAATTGTGTTGCATAATCGCCTCTTAGAGGAACCAAAGTTGAAAAATACTCAAATTAATATTACAGATGTATTCTATAAACCATACTGAAACCTTTGGTATATAATATATTGATATTTATTTGAATTTATGGCCCCAAAGACCTTTGAACTGCGCACAATGGTCATCATCTCATTTTGCCCTCCCTGAAAAAAATTCTTCCACAAGTCGAAAATAATACGCAGCGAATGAGTTAATATTGTGTGGCTGTAGCTTTTTCTACATTAATGGAAAGAATTCGCCATAGTTTTTACATCTGATTTGTGTCCCTGCTGGTTAGAATAAGTCATGTGAAGGAAATTTCAAAATTGGGCTAACTTTATTTCCAAACACTATCACTATTTCCCTACAATTTTAAAAAAAAATGAAGTAAATAAAGTGTTAGCATTATACTAGGTACCAAAAATAAATTTTCAAAGTAGCTGTATTTCAAATTCATCTGTTCCATATGAAAGGCCTATGTCTCCTTATACTTTTGGTATCATACTTTAACCTCTCAGTCATTTTTATAAAGAAAATGACAGCTATTTCAATTTGATATATAATTTTGTTAAATTCGCTAACTGACTGCAACCCCATGTTTGACAGATAATGAAAGACGACCAAGTGCACAAAACAATCTCCACATCAACAGATTACGATCACTATAACATAGATATGGAGTTTTCGGAATTTAGCAGGATTGGTGCATTATAATTCCAAGCTGATGACATTATTCTTATAGAAAAATAACTCTTCTTTCTATTGGTGCATTTTTTGAGCCAGTATTTTACCTATTTTGTGTTTAAAATGATCTTTGCAAAATTTGTTGCTCATTTTAAAGGCTTTCTTTTTAAACGCCAAAGGCCTAAAACATATCACAGGAAACCCTGTTCAAAGCTCTTGGCCCTATAGATCCCCACCATTGAAAAGACGGTGTTTAATCATCTATCTGTCAGCAAAGCATTTGAATGCATGTGTCTCAATGTTTTAACCAACCGGCCTCCCATTCCAACCTAGATTCTCCACTTCAAAATACTCAGATACAATACACAAACAACTTCTCTGTTATAACAAAGAAAAGCTAAACTTTTTCAAGGTGCTCAGTGTTTGGTGTTCTATAGCGAAAGAGCAAAGGAACAGCAATCTGAATTACCCCAATTTCACCTATCTCGGACTCGGAAGGCCCCGAGTCGGCTCACGCGCCATGTTTACTCTACCTAATTGTACGTTTGCAAAAGCACCATAAATACACGAGCGTGCACACCCACACACTCACACCCAGACACACACACGCGCACGCGCACAAGTTTTTTACGTTTCAGATCATTCATCCTCGAAAAGGGATCAAAATCTAAAGATAAGCTTGAATGAAGGATGTTGAAGCAAGGTGGCCATGAGGTAATGGTTCTAGATAATCTCATAGCTACTCACCAGCAGGTCAAGTGTTTGAAAGGGTTTTGAGGTCCCCATTCCTTTATCTCATCACTCAAGCTCACAACAAACCAAACACACCTCCAAAGTAAATCAAAATGAAATATTTGTAGTCAATTATAGCTGTTTATTTTTATCTTAAATGAAACAGAAGACATCAAACTCTCAATAGATTAAAAAAAACAAAAATTTCTTGGAAAGTCACTTTTTTGCCTTTTCGAGCCTCTTAGCTCAAAATAGTACACTGTGTTTTGTGACTGATATTGACCGAGGCAGACACATTTGTCCTCATTGTCACTTTTTATTTCTTTTGCATCGCAGATAATAGATTATGACAGCATTTTATAATTTTTGTGTGCTTTAAATCCAGTCTTGTGTGATACTTCCTTGGACTGGGATTTTTATCAGAAATATACTTTTACCACAACACAGGAATGCCCATCAGGTTTTGTCTTGTACAGTCTAAGAGCATTTGGCCTTGTCTTTTGTGTTATTCTGTGTTATCGTAATCATTTCAATCTTACTTTTCAATTTCTTTTTGGGCAGGCATCTTGATTTCTTTGAGATGGTGAGAAATGAAGACGAAAAGGAGTTTGCTAAAAGATTTGAAGGCGTAAGTAGCTTTGTTCTGTTTTTATCTGAAATGAAGTAGGTGAACTATTGATATTTTTTCAGTAAAACAAACAGAGACAGAAGTTTGCTGATGATAATTTGTTGGTAAGATGAATATTCAGAGAAGGTCTTATTTTCAATATGTGAACATATACTTTTTTCTGATGTGCATTAATATTGAAAATGATCAGAGAAAATTTTAGAAACAGAAAGCTGTGTTATTTATTTATTTTCTTCTACTTGAGCAACGTTAACAAATTTTTAACTAAAGTTCAACTGAATTTTATCTCAAAGAATTATGCAGCCAATATCAAGTGGAATAATTTCTTATTAATGTAAGTTTTGATAATGTATTTTTTTTACTGCCTTACTACCTAATTTCATTCCAATACCTGTCTTTGAAATCACAGGTTCACATCGACTCTAAAAGTGCCACAGCCATGTTTGATATCCTGAGGAAAAAGCTGCATTTGTCATCAGCCTACCCAAACTTGTTATCTATATTGCATCACATGTTGCTCATCCCCTGTGAGTTCAAATTTTAAGTATAGGCTTATGCTTTTTGTCTTCTTTTCATATATACCTAATGAACATTCATTGAGACAAGTTAACAATGTTAAGATTTTGAAGTTCATGCAGTCTTTTTTCCCAGACTTGCATGATGCTCCATAGACATTCTATCACCTTGTCAGTGAGGTTTTCTATCTTTTGTCATTGTGCCTGCTAGGGAAGTAAGTGACATTCAAATTTCTAAAATATTTCTCTATTAGATTATATAAATTTGTCCTAGTCATTTCACATGACAAATCAGTATCGAAGATGTGAGAAGTAGTGGAGAACATAACAGCTCTCAGAACAAAAGTGTATTGAGGGTTAGATAACTTGAGGGATACAATACCTCGTCCTTCTAGCAGAATTCAAAAGATGGATGGAGAACTTATCCCTCCCTTCCTTCTTGGGTTATCCTCTTGAATGCACTGTTTCTGTAGTCCACGGTATCTTTCATGGGCCAGCATGGAGAAGAGGATCTAAGAGAGGTTTATTTTTGTAGAAACATGGAGTGAAGTGACCAGAAGGGAAGAAAGATTTATTCCGACATTGTATTCAATGTTTGTATTCATCATTCTAACCTCATCACTGTTCTCACCCATGACCGAATCCGTCTCTCAAGAAGTCTTTTCCAGGCCAGACAGTGAAAGGGGTCAGTACTGAGTCTGTAATGCATGCTGAAAGCATTAAAGAATTTCTACCATCTCAATCTTTTGCTTTGTGGATAAAATTTTGTGTCATTGTCTGTGAAATCAAAACTTTTTAATTTGATCAAACTGGGTGTCTAACATAACCCATTGCTATGCTTCCCTCAGACGGCAAGAATGACATGTTACAAGTGTGGACGTTACTGGACAAGGTGGTGCAACAGATGGTGCTACAGCTCAAGAAGGGTGAGGACCCAGATGGGGCACCGCTGGAGGAGATAAATGTCAAGCAACTCATTAGGCAGTGAGTGAACAGCATGGTGGTGTTCTCAAACTGTTTTACATATTCTTTTCTGCAGACCAAAGAAGAGATCAATAACAAACGGCTAATTGAGCAGTCATTGAATAGCGTTGTGGTGTTTTCAAACTGGTTTTCTGTTCATATTGTTGTAGGCCGGGGCAAAGTTTAATAAAGCCCAGCAGCTGAAGGGTGAGGATTTGTTCCATAAGAGATAGGAAAATTTCCACCTTTTCTAAATCAAATGGCAAAATAGGGGAGTTCAAATACGATATCAAGGGAATTATGCAACATAGAAAGTTCAATTGCAAGAGGAGAAAGAGCAAGTATCACATCAGAGCAACCAAATGTAAGCATGGAAAGTTCAAATTCATTAGAACCTATTTTTACATCATGGTATAGGCTTAATTTTAATTCCATCTAAACATATGCAAGTTCAACGAAGAAAGTTCATTTTAATTAAATATATGCTATTTTGTTAATGCTCTCTCTCTCTCTCTCTCTCTCTCTCTCTCTCTGTTGATACATAAAGTTCCTTTGTTGTATTTGAACTGCCTAGTTTTATATTTGATTGAAAAAAGGTGTAAAAATTATGAGAAAGAGAAAAAGAGAGCAAGAGAGAGAAAGGTAAAGCTCAGGAAAATAAGCACATTTTTCATCAGTCAGTTTATATATGTGTCATGACGCGATTGAATCTGGCACTCATCAAATTTGGGTCATGTGGAGTTTTTTAATATCGTCTTAAAGCTGGTTTTAACGGTAAAACTATCGAGAAAATGGCAGCCAAAGTTTAGTGACTTCCATAGCTTGATAGTCCTTGGAAACTAATAATTTACATATTTTATGCCATTAATTAATCTACTTTTTTCTGTAAAATCCACATAGTAATGTGTTTTTTTATGGACATAAAGGGTGATGAGCCAAAAAACAAAAATTGATAAAAATTGAAAAACCTGCGGGAAATACCATTTTCTTCAATTTCGTTTTTTTGACGAGTGCCTGATTTCGCCGCGATACCTCACATATACTTTATCCAACTGTATTTGGGAGAACACCTTATTTTTAACAAAATTGTTTCAATGAAGCATGTAATAATGACCTTTTAAGTCCAAGTCTCCTGAATGTTACTTTAAAAAAAGTTGAATTTGTTCTTTCATTTTTAAAAATTCTGCAATACATGGACATGTGGTAAAGATCTATTGCTGTGTAGAGGGGTGTTTTGACAAACAAGAGCCTTTAAAGCATTTTAAATTTGTAAAGATTTCATTTAGACGAAATGGATAGAAAATATTTGAAAATGTATCCAACATTGAGCCGAGGAAACTGTTTCGGTTCCGGCACATAGGAAATGGGCATTTAGCAAGGTGTTTTGTTGTGGCATAGGACTCGAGTTTTATTCCAATGTGGGGGAGAATTTCTATAAAGTATGTGATTGACCTATCCCTCTCATCCCAGGTTGGCCCTGAGGGCCGGGGTTGATGAAGCCTGCTTCCTAAATGATCTAAACATCTACATACACAAAAAAATACATAACAAGGATCTGTGATAGGTAAGACATGTAATATGTAGGTCATAGTAAGTCATATAATAATATATATGTGTTAATATAGGCCATAGTAATTTTGTATTAGGAAATTGAAACTGCAAAATACTTTTCACTTCTTTTTTAATCAGACTGGCCAGTGAGACTGATATCAAAAGTTTCCAAACAAAACTGAGAGAAGCAGAGAAGGCTGGGGATGAACTTAACGCTAAACTTGCCAAAAAGGAGCGGGAGTGTGAAGTGAGGCTGGAGGAGAAGGTAAGTTTCCTTTTGAGCTTTCTAATAAAAAATGATTAACTAAAGCAGGACTGATGAAAATAAAGAAAACAAACCATTCTCTTCTCGTGTTCCAAACAGAGACCATCGCACACCTAAGACTACCATAAGGTTCATTGAAATGTTGGTTTTCTTATTTTAAAGAGAGGACAGAAAAAATTGTTTGGGCTACGGCTTTTGCTTTTTTAACACCTTCCTGCCTGGCTATTCTCACTTTTGTTACTAACACTAGACTCACTAGAATGTGTGTGTATGTGAGTACTTGGGCATGCACATGTGTGTGTGTGTGTGTGAGAGAGAGGGACAGAGAGAGTTTTCTATTACAGTAATCTCCGCCTAAGATCCCGCCGCTTACGATCCCGGTTCGCTTAAGATCCCGTTGTTTTAGGAAAACATAATTTTTACTATACAAAAGTCACCCTTAAGATCCTGCTCTGATGGTCTACATTCGGCTAAGATCCCGCATTTCAGATCATAATTTGCTAAACAAAAACCCGGGCGGGCACAGCCGATCAACCTAGAGTGAAAAGTTGAGATCAATAAACTGTCCGTCGCGTCAAAGATCAACCACTATCGTGAATGTGATCACATACACGTTGTAAAACTCGATAAAGCGATACAATGTTTGCCCCAGACGGGATCATACCGAGGTGTGAACTGACCGACGCGTTTGTTTTCCCCACGCATCGCACTCACACCTGAGCTCGCCACCTAAACTTGCATCACTCGCTGGGTGGGTAGGGCCTACACCTATACGTTCTTACTGATCGTCTAGGCCTACACGTTCACTCCAGGCAGGATCACATCGAACCGTGAACTCTTCCTTGACCATTGCAGCAGTTGTCTCTACTCCCGAATTTTCGAGACAGACTGAATTTTAATTGGTGGGTTCACAACGTAATGGTGTGTCAGAAATGGAAAGCTATAAATTTTTGACAGGTAAAGAGGAGGGGCAACTGGATAAGCGTAGATCTTGAGACTCATGATAGGATAATAAGTGAAAATGGCACGCCACATCCCACTATGCACCGTGATAGGTCATCAAGGTTAACCACTCTTTGCTCGCCATACGTCATTAACCCACCAAGCGGTCACGTCAGTTCATTGTAGAGTGGAGGGAGACCATTTTACCGATTGTGAGCCTTATCATGGGTCACCCTAGATTCTTCCCTGGGTTCATCGGTTAAGATCCCGGTTCGCCTAAGATCCCGCATTTCCTTGCTCCCAAGCACCGGGATCTTAGGAGGAGACTACTGTACTACATTTTTGTGTCCTTTGTTGGTATCTCATTGTCAGCTTCAGCGTGTTATGTAGCTCATGGTACCAAGATAAAGTGTGTGTATGCATGTGAGTGTATGTGTGTGTATGTTTGTGTGATAGAGAGTAAGGAGAGAGCATAATGAATCTTCCAATATTATTATGTTTTTGTCCTCTATCGGTAGGCCTATGTCATTGTTAGCTTTAATATATGTAGTAAAGCAGTGTATTATACCAAACAAAGTCTGTGTGCTTGTGCACACCCGGGTGTGTGTATGTTTGTGTATGTATGAGAGAGACAGAGAGATAAGAAAAGAGAATAAGGTCATTTCCTTAAAGCAGCCTATTTTACCAAGACAATCTTTTTTCATGGTGGAGCTTACTGGTCAAATAAAGTTTTTCACAGGGATACCTCAGATATACTTTATCATTTTTAACAAAATTGTTCAGATGAAGCATGTAATAGTGACCTAAAAGTCCAAGTCTCCTGAATGTTACTAAAATCTTTAAAATATTTTAATCTACTTCATGTGTCCAACTATTTGCTGGGCACCATCAAAAATTTCTTTTAACTTCTAAAAAAAGCATATAATATGGTGTTATGCGAAAGAATGTTATTTGAGGCAGTAGTTTTGTCTGGAAGGTTTTCTGGCATTTTTTTCAAGTTGACTAAATGTGCTTATAATGCTCATCTTTTAACATCTGTAGTGATGTTTGATATATTTTTATATATTTTGACAGGATAGTAGTAAGACTCTTCAGCATTCTTTAGCAGACCATGCATAGAAGTACATAAAAAAGTAATGACGTCGTTTGATAAAACTATAAAAATGTGAAATGGTTGTATCTCTTCAATGCGTGCAAATTATAAAGAAAGAACTGTTACACAGTAAAATTTGACTCCAGAGCAGACCAAATTCTTACTCGTCAAGTTTTTAGGCATGTTCTATAGATGGAAAGATAGATGGGATTAATTAGATAGATAATAGTAGATAGCATTTAGATAGATAGGTGTTATTCTATAAGAGTTGTAGTTTCTACAGAAGAAGAGTGAAAAGATTAGTGAGAAATAACAGTCAGTGCTGAACTTGATACATCTTTGTCCTCTCTTTTTGCAGTTTATTCTATACAGCTCAGTAAACTGCGAACAGAAAGGATAAAGATGTATCAAGTTCAGCACTGCCGTCATTTTTAAAGTACAATATATGCTTTTTTTTTTTTTTTCAATTTTGCAGGAGAGCCAAAAATGATAAGGAAGTTATTATCAAAATAAAATTCTTAAAAACATTGACTGCTTGGGATTTTTGCAAAGAGATTGTTTTCTTGGTAGCAACATTCAGTTTTTTGGCTCTCCAGTAAAAGTGTAAAAGCTGCATATACTGTACTTTTAAAAATAATGGCAGAGGACTGAATACATCTTTGTCCTCTCTGTTCGTTGTTTACTCTGATAAAGTAGGCTGTTTCTTTGTTATCCACAACCCATTTATTCATAAGAACATGGTAAAGGCAATGTTTGACTACTTGTAGTACATTTATATCATCTGTTCTGGTAACAGGAAGATCTGATGTCCACAATGAATATGATGAAAACCAAGTTGGAGAAAGAGGTGTCAGCCCATGCAGAGACAAGACAACAACTACAGGATCTTCTCTCTCGAGTAGAGGAGATCAGATCACAGGTCAGCCAGCAGGAATACACAGAGATATGATAAATATGTATATACTAGCTTGGCCCCCTTTCGATGAAAGGAATGGTCGGTGCTTTAACATCAACTGAAAGTCATTTTCCTACTATATTTACACTCTAGTACTGGAATGGAGCAATAAATCTTGAGAGATGCAAAAAATCAGAAGGTCTAGATTTACACTCTCCAAACAACACTGCGCACAGGTAGTGAACAGAAACCTCAATTGTTTACAATGGCGTTTTAGCTGTCAGACTTTCCCGAGAATAGATCTAAACGAAACTAATGAAAACTGAAAATTAAACTACAGTGACTTCAGGCTCTTCAATAAAACTGTGCACCCTTTAAATGATTCTGAACCACCATTAATCTTTTCAAATTCAAAAGTTAAGTGGTTCGGAAGTTTTAGGGGGCCAAAGTGACGGACTTTCACAAATATATGTGTAGAGATGCTCAAGCATGTGCATACACAAATACAAAGACTTGAACATACCGGCAAAGACACAAAAACACATGCACCCACTCTCTCACATACACCACCAACAGTTGCACGTGCAAGCACTCACTCACGCACATACACATTCATACACACACACATGTGCACATACACACCTACATGGTCTCATATGTGTGTGCTCATATATACTGTTTTTTTCTTTTTAAATATACTTAACCCTTCCAGCGGTTAATTATTTCTGAACTACGTGGTCCCTCAGTCTCAAATTATTTTTGCTTTGCTAAACTGACAAAAGGTAATGTCAGAAAAACAGTCATAAAACACATCCCAATGAAGCTAGAAACTTGTATCATACATCGTAACAACCACAAATGAATGAAGAATTAAGAAATATATATATATATAGAAGATTTGGAAATAAATTTTCTACTCACATGTATTATTGTTTGATATTCATGCATGACCCTGTACCCAGGCATTTTGTTGCTTGTCTTCCAGCTGGACACAGAGAGAGGGGAGAAACAGAAGCTCCAGCATTTGGTACAGAGTGGCAGTCTCCCTGATGATGCCAAGGTTGGACTCTCCACTGCCGCATCTTCCATCATTTCCAGCATTGAAGGGACCATCAGACAGAGCGCCCCACCACCTCCTCCTCCTCCACCTCCACCCCCTGGTGTGCCTGCCCCTCCACCTCCTCCCCCTGCACCAGGAGCTCCTTCACTCCCTTCCAAATTTGGTAAGATCTTGACCAGCATGCTCTTTGATATATGTTCTTGACAAGCATGCTTTTTGGTAGATTCTCGATAAGCATACTCTCTGGAAGGAATCTAAGCTGATCTTGAGAATGTGCAGATCTTTTTTGGTACAAAATGTTTTTTTCAAAATAAGGAATTCCCTCTATTATATACAGGCGATCATAAAAAAAACTCTGCAGTTTTTTTTTAGTTTGCTAAAGCATACACTTGAATTTTGATTTGTTAGAGTTTCTACAATTTTAAAAATCGCTCAAAACAAAAAATTCAGTGTTTGAGTCTTACTTTAACTTTAGCGGCTTAAGGTACACAGGGTGAAAACCAGAAATGTGCTCTTTTTCACAAATTTTCGGCACAAGCAAGTTTTATTTAATGCAGTCATGGAGAGTAGGTCTAAGTAAACAAAAATCTGCTTTAAAGTTATTTTTTACATTTTGTCTTTAAGTTATAACGCCCCGTTTGAGCGATGATCAGAGAAATCAGACAATTGGAATGCTCAAAGTCAATGCAAGCGTTTCCGCTGTAGCAAGGATTTTCAATGTAAAGCTGGGTACAATCCAAGCACTTGGAAGATGTTGTCAAGTAACTGGAACAATGAAAAACAGGTCATGAACTGGTCGACTGAAGAGTACAACAGCTGCTGAAAATCGTTTCATAAGGATGGCGCATCTTTGGGACAGTTTCAGGACTGCTTCACGTACAGCCAGAGAATTTCTTGGATTACAGAGAATAAGTCGACTCACTGTGGTTTGGAGATTAAAGGCTTATAGAATCGATCGTTGCAAGGTGTTCCGCCAAATGACTTCGCCTTCTTCCTCATCACCGCCAAATTAGCCTTGTGTGGGCTCAGTTGCACCGAAGATGGACACAAATGCAATGGGATTGAGTTATTTGTTCAGACGAATCTCGTTTTCAGCTTAAGCATCATGACAGTAGGATAAAGGTCTACAGAAGGAACCCTGAAAGATACATGCCACAGTGTGTAAGTGCAGCCAACAACAAATGTGGAGTCATGGTATGGGGAGCCATTACAGCTAACCATCGAACACAGCTTGTTGTGGTTCAGAAAAATATTACTATCCGAAGGTACATTGACCAAATTATGCAGCCTCATCTTCTTCCCTTTCTGTGTGATCGTGGCCCGAACATGATTTTCCGACATGACGATATATCCGCACATCATGCACTTGCAAATCAAGAATTCTGAAGAGAAAACGACGTTTTCGTCTTGAATCCTTGGCCAGCCATTTTGCCTGACATGAACGTTATTGAGTATTGCTGGGATCATTTGGGCTGACAGATTGCTACCATGAATTCTCTGCCAAAAACGTCACAACAATTCCAAGAAACACTGGTCAATATGTGGAACAATAACCTTCAACAGTTTTTCTGACGACTAGTTCATTCTTTTCAATAAGCTGCTTAGTTGTGTTGAGCGTCTGACAGGCTGCTCCATAATCTCTCTTGATTATGCTCTGCTGTCATCGACTGGCGGATACATGCCTTACTGAATTTGTGACTTTTGGTTTTCAACATTTCTTGCTAGAACAGGCATGTAAGGTAAATCACTGTTTTAATTGAATTGATTTTGTTCACCTTGGCTTGTACATTTAGTGTGTCAAATACTCCAATCAAGAAAACTCAATTCCGTCTCTGTATATAGAATAATACACAGAAGTAGGGGGTGTCCAATTTCTTTTGAGTACAGTCTTTGGACTTTGCTGACCCTGGAATTGATTTCCACTGTTTTATGGGGCTGAGTTTTTCTTTTTACAACTCGGCTAATCCATTTTCACAACATGTGCTTGTACTCAAGACAGAATGGACATTTAGACTAAGTAGTGAAGCTTTCATCAGAGAAGCTTTGTACAAAGTGTTATTCGCATTCATAGTTGTTTCGATGAGAAACTCCTTATAATTATTACATCTGTGTGCATCTCACCGACTGCTGGGAGCGGCCGTTTGGGCTTGATGGGTTCATTTCTCTGCATAGATTTGACATCTTTTCTGTTTTTCTTCTCTCTCTCTCTCTCTCTCTCTCTCTCTCTCTCTCTCTCTCTCTCTCTCTCTCTCTCTTGCTCTCTCTCTCTCTCTCATGTACTCACTGTTCATTAACTGCTTCTCTTCCGTTTCCTCTTATTTCCATCTGTCTCCCTCTCACAGTCTTGAGAGCAGTGTGCACACTTGCAGATGAAAAAATATATATATTCAAATAATTAATCGAAATAAGCCCTTGGTTGAATGGTCCTACTTCTTTTCTGTTCAACATCTGTTTCTGTCTGTCTGTTGCTTTGAAGAACAGTTATTGTGTTAATGTGCTTTCATTCTTTCAATAAGCTGCGTAGTTGTGTTGAGCGTCTGACAGGCTGCTCCATAATCTCTCTTGATTATAACAGTTTCAGTTTCTAGAAGTTTTTTTGCAAGAAGTAATACAAAATGTTGGAGTAGCTTGCCATAACACCATAAAATCAAAAGTGTGCAACCAACAGCCACTAAATTTTGTGATGTCATGACATCCTGTCTAAGAAATGTCAACGTCAAATTGCAAGTGCATTTTTGAACGGGTCATAGAGCTGTGACGTGTCAAGTGTAGTGTTATAGTGCACTTTGTCCAAGGCAAATCCTAGGGAAATGGCTGAGCAAAACATTGGTGCTGCCTTCTCATGCTGCGATGTCCGAGCTGTAATCAAATTTTCAACTCTTTTTGACAAGTCTGCAGTTGAGACCCATGGTGATCTATACAAAGTAATAAGGAATAATGCCCCATCAATTCAAACTGTAAGTAAATGGATCAGGGAGGTTGAAGGTGGGAGGTCTGACTTGAAAGATGAAGCGCACACAGAAAACATGAGGAGAGAAAGGTAATGCACATTGGGGTTTTTTCGACATGAGTAGCATCATACTGAGCTGGCTACTCACACCTGGCGTAACTGTCAATGGTGACTACTACAGGTTCATCCTCAAAGACAGACTAGTTGAGACCTGCAATCCGGAAAATAAACCCGCTTTGCTTGAAGAAAGCGTCATCTTGCATCATAACAACGGGTCTGTTCTCAAGTTCAGAGTTGTGAACGAGCTTCTTGAGGGCTACTCATGGGAATAATTGGAACACCAGCCCTCTTCGCCCGATCTCGCCCCATGCAACTTCCACCTCTTCCCCAAGGTGAAAGAAATGCTGCGAGGTCTTCGATTTGAGGACGAAGACCAGATTCATGAGGCTATGAGAAAAGCACTCGGGACCCTGGACAAACAATCTCTGACCACTGTCTTTGACCGCTGGGTACATCAAATGGAGAAATGTCTTGAACTTGATGGTTCCTAAGTTGAATAAGTATTTGAATAAGCTTTCTGCTTATACCAAATACAAGGTGATTTATGATTATATGTGAGGACAGCATACAGGGAAACTGTATTCTGAGACAGACCTCATACCATTAGTTTAGGGGGTTAGTCATTGATTATTTCACTCCAGCAACGGAAGAAGAAATCAAAAAGATAGTATTAGATAGTCCATCAAAAACTTACACCTTAGATCCCATGCCCACCAACCTTTAAAAAAAAATGTTAACATGAACTTCTTCCACACATCGTCCAAATTGTAAATGATTCTCTCCTCACAGGCACAGTACCAAATTATTTTAAGACAGCACATGTTAAACCCCTTTTGAAAAAAGCTGGACTTGATGAAAAGGACAAACAATTTTTAGACCAGTTTCAAATATATTATTCTTACCCAAAATTCTGGAAAAAGTTGTTTCTAATAGACTCTTACAGCAAATCTAAGCAAATAATCTCAGCGAAGTTTATTAGTCAGCGTACAAGGCGCACCGTAGTACCAATTAAGACATCATTACTTAAGGTCTGTACTGATATTTTAAAAGATATTGAGGAAAGAAAGGTATGTCTTCTTACTCTTTTGGACCTTTCAGCTGCCTTTGATACCATTGATCATGACATTTTACTTGAGAGACTAAATACTACATTTGGTGTAAAGGGTACTGTCCTGTGATGGTTTGAGTCATATTTTAAAGATCGAACACAAACAGTTGTGGTTGGAAGCATGTGTTCTGATAATGTTTTGCTTAGATTTGGTGTTCCCAAGGGGTCTGTTCTTGGACCTTGTTTACAATGTACACACAACCTATTGCTGATATTTTAAGACAATATGGCATGAATTACCATCTTTATGCCGATGACACTATTGATTTGGATCAAATATCACTTTTAGTCGACTCCACTGAGCAATGTATTTGGGAATTAAAAATATGGATGACAAATAATAAATTGAAACTTAATGATGACAAGACGGAAGTACTGTTGAGTGGAAACACAAAATCCATTAGAAATCTCCCAGAACTATAAATTGATATCAATAACCATACTATTCGTTCAAAAAAAAGTCTTAAAAACCTAGGGGTTCAGTTGAATTATGATATTTCTATGTCCTCCCAAATTAGCCAGCTCAGCAAAAATATCTATTTTCAGCTTTAAAAAATTGGCAGTGTAAGAAATTATTTAACTAAGTCAGCAGCAAAGACATTAGTAACAACACTGATATACATAAACATACATATATGTTTAATACTGTGTTTTACATACGCACATGTCGATGAATTTTTAAAATGTGATGTCTTTTTTTGTGTAATGCACAAGGAGCATTTTTTAGAAAATGGAAATGCGCAACATAAATACTATTTATTTTTATTAATAATTACCCCCTCAAACACAACTGAGCATTGTTTTTACTATAGTTAAAATGTTGCTCTTGTAACTGGAGGAGGCAACTTTTCCTTACAATCATTACCTGAAGGTACAAAAATTGACTTTCTGCCTTGGGAAGAAAGGTGAAAGGAATACAGAGAGAGGGCAAGTTCAAGAACTAAAAATTTTTATTACTGTTGGAGACGAACAGGACAACTTCCAGCTGTTAGGTCTTTGAAATTTTGTTATTGTCATTTTCATACCCAGGTGTCAACGGAGTCAACTCAGCTCTTACAGCCAAACTGAAAGGAAACCCTAAACCAAACGTGCCAATGAAATCCTTCAACTGGACCAAGCTACCAGAGGTGAGGACACTTTTTTTTTTCTCTTTGAACATTTGGTCCAAGAAAATGATGTCATTACTGGATTCTAGCGCGTTCCAGGCAAAAGAAGAAACAATAAGAATAAAGGTGCATACAACCGTGTCAGGCAGATCTGGATGAAGTAGAGTTGAACTGTCTCTGATGAGGAAGGAAAAAGGTCATACATTGTTCTAGAAGGTCCCAAATACAGTCAAACCTATGTAAGAAGGCCACCCATTGTGAAGGAGAAAAGTGGCCACATAAGACAAGTGGCCGTCTTAGGCAGGACTGATCAAGATGAAGAAAGCAAACGATTCCCATCATTCTGAGGCCCCAATCGAAAGTGGCCGCATTGTTGTTGATCTCGTTGTTGTTGTTGTTGTTGTTGTTGGTTTGTATTTTGTTTGTAAGTTTTATTTTGTCGCTGATTTTGTGCAAGGGTGACAATAAAACAAATGTATCAGACGAGGAAGACTAATGAAAGTGCCATGTTAAAACAAACTCATGGGTCGCCACCACTCGGAGAACGAGCGATGCTTCTGTCGCAAGTTCATATTGTTACATGTACTTTGTTACAGACTGGGTAAACAGTGACCACTCATCTCTCTTACGATTTGTGTATGAGTTCTGGGCGGGGCTTATGGGGTATGGGGGATCACACGCTAACCTCACCAGCAGCTGAAAATTGGTACCTATTGGTCAACAGTGGGAGGGGCCTACGCAACATGATCGGTTGGAGGGACTACCTAACAACAAAGACAGGTGATTAGTTTGTGATGGCTCGCCCACAACGCCATGAGCGAATGCACAATTTATGACAAAACGTAATGGAGTCACTAAGGTGGCCGTCTAAGACAGATGTTATTGCTTAGTGTGATAGGGGTTGTGTGTTAAAATATGGTGGCCGCGGCCACATTGGACAGGTGCCCGTTTTACACAGTTAAATTATATTTTAAAAACGCAAGGGGGGGGAATGAAAAGCGGCCGTTTGTACGGGTGGTCGTCTTATAGAGGTGGCCGTCAGGGCAGGTTCGACTGTATTTCCAAAGGTTACAGTTATCTTTTATTTCTTCAGCAAAGGTGTTCAGCAAGCATTCTCCAGGTTTTCATTGAATTGTTGCTCAGGTAAGCTTTGTTTATGATGTATTGGCACCTGTACCTCCATGAAATAGACTACCTTTTCTATTCAGCCTGAATAATTGGACATCAATCTGTTTAGTGCAAATGTCATATGTTAACACTCAAAGTTAATTTCTGTGAGATGTTACCTGGAGTAATTTGGGATTGAAATAAAAATATTGCTTTTCAAAACATTTAAGTTCTTAAAACATTCTTTCCTCTCTTCCTCAGAATCAAATTTCAGGGACAGTATGGAATGACGTCAATCATTCTAAGGTGTGTTTATGTATTCAATGTGAACTTTTCCTTGTGAGTGAAAGGCGTTCTCTGACCTGCTTTTTTCCCATAGATAGTGGCCTGCTATGTTAGTCTCATGTTCTATATCATTATTTTCCATATATTATGTCTATGTTCTTCTATCGTAATTCTGTTTCTTTTCTTTGGATAATAGCCATATCTTTGCGTTTAGGTTTTTTAGCTACAAACACAACTGCAACAGTATGAAATCCTTATCATCTATTTGTGATGAGTCTGGTGGCCTAAATGAGATGGAGTGTGGATACGCGCTATATAATACAACTATTATTATTACCATTAATATTAATTATGTGATGTCTATATGAGATGCTGAGAAGTTATGGTCTATGGTCTTTGTTTCTCATGCATATGTAAATGTGGACATGACCAGGGAACACATCAGTCTGATCTTGGAGCTGATGGCGATGTTCTTGTCATTCCAAATGACTTTTAGTTTAGTCACTACAGCTGTGATTTGGGCTTTCCTGAAGAGTACTTCGGGCTTGGAGCCTTCATCCGATATTATGGTTCTCAGATGTTCAAAGTTGTGAATGGTCTCCAGCTTTTTTGTGTCAATGATAATAATGTGCTTTCAATTATAAGTTGGTCCTAGATTAAACAGACTACGTTGCCGAAAACAGACTTGGCCAGTCTCTGCTTTGACACAGGTGGCAGTGGCCGTCAAACGCCTATTGCTTTCTCATCTGAAAAATACTAGTAATACAAAATGAGCTTGATGTGGATAGGTTGTGGAGAACTTGTGCGTGGGCGGCCCACCCAGGTTAGTTCCAAAGGTACATCACCCACGGTACTGACATTGGGTTCCAGTACCTTCACAACTTTAATAATATGACTCCTTCTTCTTTTATTTGCTTTCTTCAATATATTTAAAATTATTTGAGGCAAGACCCTGTGCCAATGACCATGATGGATAGGCTGCAGAGCATCAGATTTTCTCAAAACAACTTGTTTACACTAACAGATTGGAATCTTTGTTGTCTGCATGACTAGCCTGTAATGTTTAACCAAGTGTTTTTCATTTTTCAGATCTACAACAGCCTTGACCTTGATGACTTCCAGAAGACATTCTCAGCATATCAACGACCTGCGACGGACGAGGGAGAGGAGGACCAGAAAAACACTACTAAAACAAAGAGTCAGGTCCTCACGGTCATTGATGGAAGGCGGAGCCAGAATTGTACCATACTGCTGTCCAAGCTGAAACTGACCAATGAGGAACTGGCAAAGGCTATAATGAATGTAGACGAAGGAGAGGACCTGCCCAAAGACATGGTGGAGCAGGTAGGACTATTTGAATTTTAAAATAGGCTTAGCCTTTTACAGTTTGCTTCTTTTTCAGCTGTTAAAAGTATTTCACCTCCTAGTATTTTCTATTATATTCTCGATTTTCCTTTGTAGATTTTGTGGGAATATTTATTTGCTTGATATTTCAGATGGAAAAAAGCTTTCATAGCCTTTAAATTCCAAATTGTGTTGCATAGGAGAAAGGCTTGACTTGCTTAACTTAAAAATGTAGAAAATCTCGTGATGTAATTTCTTCCCCCCACTCAGCTGTCTGATAAGATTTATGAAGATTCTTTAAAACTAAGATCTTATCACTGTGTTAAAACTGAGAGATCTAGCTGAGATCTTTTATTAGTTATATAATTATCACACTGCCAAATGGTAAAGTTGAAAAGAGGGCAAATGAAAATGGTTTCAGAGTCTTTGCGGACTTAAAAAACATACACTTTTCCAAATAAGACATCGAACAATTTCTTTTTCCCCACCTCCCTCCTTGGCACCTCACCAAGGTGAAAGTAGACTTACAGCTCCTCACACAACTAAGCAAGCACAAACACCAACAGATTTAAAGCAGAATACAAAATTTATAGAAAAATACCCCGGTACAGTGCTAATCTTCACAGATGGCTCTAAATCGGGCTCTGCTGTGGGCACCACCACCCTATCTTCTAACAGTACAAAACAGAGGAGACTCCTTAGAAAATTCCCCTAATACATCTTTCCTTATCCATCTGACTCTCTGTCTTGCATCACCTCACTCATAAACTGCACACTCATACTCCCAAAAATAATTAGTTTACAACAAAAAATATATGCTTTGACTGAAACCGGGAAAAATATCGTGTTCACATGGCTTCCTAGCCATGTGGGCATCCGAGGAAACGAGCAGGTGGATCTCCTGGCGAAGGAATCCTTGTCCCTTCTGTTGGGATCAATGACAAACACTCTCCCACAGACTGACTTTAAAAATAAGGTAAAAAATTACACCTTCAGTCTGTGGGAGACACGTTGGGAGACACAAATTAACAACAAACTTCACATCGTCATGCCCAAACTGGGTCCACGAAACCTTCAGGCGTCTCCAGAAGAGACGAAGTCATTTTTACTCGTTAAGCTTCGGACACACCTCCCTGACACATAAATACCTCCTTCAGGGAGATGAGAAACCATTCTGTGTTGGATGCGACACAGATTTTACCATTAGACACATCTTAATAGTCAGGATTTACTTGTACTGTATGGCAAAAGTTTTGTGTAAGCAAAATAAGATTTCAATTCAGAGTTGTTATGAAATCTCTTTCCGTGACCCTGAATGACTCTTTTTGTCTTAGTTGCTCAAGTTTGTACCAACATCAGAGGAGGTTCAGCTCCTGTCTGAGTACACACATGAGATTGACAACATGGCCAGAGCAGACCGTTTCCTCTATGAGATGAGCAAGTAAGTTCTACTCTGTCACATATATTCAACTGCAATTGCATTTACAGAAGCAAGGATAGATTCTCATGCATATACACACACACACACACACAGAAGGGAGGAATTGGAGGCCTCTACTGTCTGTTTATACCTCTACTGTCTGTTTATACTTTTTTCCTATTCCCTTCTGTGCTTGATTGTTTTTCTCAATACAGAATAACCTTTATTGTTTTGATCTTCTTCTTCAGAGCTCAAACCTTGATATGCTCCAATTCACACACACACACTATCTCATGAACATTCACCCTTGAATTTTATTGAAAGTAGGTCTATATATCAAGTCAACCAATACTATTTATGTCTGTGTTGCCAGTAGGCACTGTTGTGCACTTTATGGATGATCAAAGCTAATAATATCTTTCAAATGTTTTTTCAATATTCAACTGATCTAATACAGATCAGTCGATAATATATTATGTGTTAAAAAGGTGTGTAGCAAATAACAAAATACTATACTGAACACCAAAAGAAACGCAAGTAAGCAACAAAAGAAACGCAAATGGATTTCTGGTGTATAAAAGGTTATTTTTATTGAAATTGTTAAACAGTTGTGTGATTTTTTTTTTTAGATGTTTTACGTTCGAAAATGTGATTTTCATTTAGCGCGGACGAACATCTTCGATTGGTATTTTTTCTCGACTCATTAATGTCACAGTAATCTTCAACACAGGGATGCACAACACGCATAGTCCATTTGGTACATTTAAATATCTTGTATGCCCTCCTTGGGCACCAACAACAGCTTGACACCGTCTGGGCATAGAGTGCATCAGTCTGTTGACGGTGGCTAGCTGGATGTTGCCCCATGCCTGTTGCATGTTCTGCTCCAGTTGTGCCGCAGTGGCTGGCCGTGGTTGAATGTTGTTTTGTTGTCGCTGGAGATGGTCCCATAAGTGTTCGATTGGGTTACAGTCAGGGCTGAGTGCTGGCCATGTTGTTCTACTGCAAGAATGCCACAGTCGCTGTGCAGTGTGCGGGCGCGCATTGTCATGCTGGAACACCAAGTGGTGGTGTTGCTGGACGTAGGGTAGGACCGCTGGCCAAAGCACCATGTTGATGTAACATTGGGCGTTGATTCCATTGCCACCCCTGCGTCCGAGGTTTCGGAAGACGTCAGGGCTGATTATGTAATTCAGTCCAATGGCAGCCCAGATCATGACACTAGGGCAACCCCAGGCTTCGGCTTCCATCATGTTGAGGTCTGCGTAGCGTTCACCATTCCTCCCCCTCCAGATTCTGACTCTTCCATCCGCGTTGCTGATGCAGAATTGACTCCGGTCAGAGAAAAGAATGTTTCTCCATTGCATCCATGTCCAATGAAGCTGATGCTGGACCCAGGCTAACCTCTGTTGGCTGTGGCGGATAGTGAGGACTGGGTCGACCGCAGGACAATGGCACCGGAGTCCTCGGGTCTGAAGTCGCCGCCGCATGGTCTGGCCGGATATCGGTCGTTCGTAGCTTCCAATTGTCCCCCTTGCTGTTTAGGCTGCAGACTGGAAGCTGTCTCGGTGATGATGGCGCATAATCAGTCGATCTTGGCGTGCGGATGTGACCCGTGGCCAAGTCTTGGGTGCTGCCAGTTGTTTTGACAACGTCCACAGCCTACAAACTGTTGAAAGGGACATATGAAATGCAATAGCAACGTCAGTACAGCTGTCCCCAGCTTGTAAACGCCGAATGGCTCTCTCTCAATCTGCAGCGCTCAGTCATGGTATTGTCTTGATGGTTATTGCTTCACAGACCAAAGCGTAGCGGTGTGTCTTTTTATACCCTGATATGCCACGAACACTACTCACGAAAAAAAAAAATTCACTCACCTCTGTTTTCAATCATACAGGGCTAAAAGCACAAACTTTTCATTGACATTGTGAGCTTAAGATGAGTACTTCTTACTCAGCACTCACAGACTACATTCAAGAGACCTGAACACCTCAAGGGCATATACTAATTTTTATCTGAAAAATATTTTTCATTTCTTTTGGTGTTCAGTATATGTTTGTTTTATACACTTTATTTCTGAAATTTTTCCTTTTATGTCATTGTCTCCTTAATAAAAAGCAAATATTCTGAAGTGATTATTCAGTAAATGTTTGCAATTAGATTTTAGTTTATTGTCTTTCTAATGTTTTTTTATTCCCAGAATTCTACACTATGAAGAGAGACTCAAAGCTCTCTACTTTAAAAAGAAATTTCAGGAAAGAAGGGTTGACTGCAAACTGAAAATTGATGGTGATTATAAAAGATATACTTTACTATTCTGTTTGCTTTCTCAGTTTTGGTTTTGATACTTTCATCATTTTAATTTTTTCCTGTGAAGTGTAGAAATAATAAAATCTACTCACGAGTAGGTTTTACTTTTATTTATTTCTACTTTTCTCTGTATTGTATGGGTTTGGGGAAATAACAGACTCTACTTTCCAGCAGAAGATGTGATAAAAAGTTGTAATTTTAAAAAACCCAGTTTTATTGACCCTATGGAACTTTGGGGTTGCAATGGCAAAATACGAAGTATATTCAATGTACGTTCAAGGTTACATCAGCATCACATAATGCACAAGACCACACTAATACTTTCAATTTTAGAAACCTGTCATTGCTCCTTACCACTGTGCAGGGTCCTGTTTCAGCTAGGGTTATTGTGCCTTGCACAAGGACACATCTGATTTCACTGAGTATCCAATCACTAGCACCCTCTGTGGCAAAATAGCTTGCACATGTATACATAAATATCTATGTTTGGCTTCAAAATTAGAAATGTCCCTTTGTGTGTCCTCTCTGTGGTAGAAATGTCTTGTGGTATGTCCTCTCATCAACAGAAATCTCTCTGGTAGAAATTTCCTATGGTGTATCTTCACCGTGGCAGAATTGTCCATTGGTGTGTCCTCAGTGACCTTTTTCCTTTTTAAAAAAAAAATTTCCTCCATGACTTCTTTCCTTCTTTTTTTCTTCCCTCTGCTTGACTTTATAAATTAAAGACTTAATGGCAGCACCCCACCTTCTGTACGATATTTTGTGTAATCGGGTAGTTAAACTTAAGTATGAGCACAAATTCTGTGTAAGATTGATATTATTTTTTATGTCCATCCAATGACTATTTGTGTGGGTGTGTATGTAAGTGTGTGCGTGTGTTGATGTGTGTATGGGTTTGTATGTATTTACCATGCTGCGGCAAATTTCTGTGTACATAAAATATTAATAAAATGTTATGTTTTCTTATCTTATCTTAAGATATCTCAGATGATGGGTCTTAATCCTACTTTACTGTTCTTATACCAACCTAGAAATGTCCTAGACAGTCATGGTGAATTAAGGAGGTCCCTTTAATAACCATGTACAAATATTTGTTGCTGTAAATTCGTAGTGACTGTTTTCTTTCTGACTCCATCATTAGCCATCATGGAAGCCAGCAAGGAAGTGTTCCGTAGTCGCAAACTGAAGAAGCTTCTGGAACTTGTGTTGGCTTTGGGCAATTTCATGAACAAAGGTCAGCGGGGCTCTGCTCTGGGCTTTAAGATCTCCAGTCTGGGTAAGATGGTGGACACTAAAGCCAGTACCAACAAGAACATGACTCTCATGCACTACTTGGTGGACATTGCTGATAAGAAGGTGAGCAAAGAAATTACCATATCATGTTTTTGTGCTGCTGTATGTGAGTGTGTGTGTGTGTGTGTGTGTTTGTCCGCCCCGGTCATAATCAGTCGTAAGACGCAATGTGCTATTTGGCGCTACAAGGCTCGAAAGGCTAAAAAGTGACTTTCCTTGAATTTTTTTTTGGGGGGGGGGGATCTATTGAAAGTTTAATGTCTTTTGCTTCTTTTAAGATCAAAATAAACAACTATAATTGACCATTAATATTTTATTTTGATTTATTTTGGAGGTGTGTGTGGTTTGTTGTGGGCTTGGGTGACAAGATAAAGGAATTTGGACCTCAAACCCTTTCGAACATTTGACCTGCTGGTGTGTAGCTGTGAGATTATTTAATTTATAGAACCATTACCTCATGGCCACATTGCTTCAACGTCCTTCATTCGCCCCTATTTTTAGATTTAGACCCCTTTTCGAGCATGAATGGTCTCTGAAATATAAACAATGCAACGTCACTATGAACGACTGAGAGCTTTGATTGGTTAAACGAAGTAAGAATGGTAACTCCTAGCCCGCCTTAAGGTTGTTTACGTAAACAGCTGACTGTGTAAGGGTGCCCTGCTAGCTCGGTTATGGGCTGTTGATCTTTCAGTTTTACACTTCGATTGACATTAAAAGTTCGTTTTTATTGTGTTTTAGTGGGGGTTTTTAAAGATTGATCTTCTGCTTGATCTCCCAAGGTGGACTCCTTACCAAGAGGCCACTGAGGTGGTCTATGTGTATGTATGTGCATATATGTTTGTGTATGTGTGAGTATATGTGTGTATTTGTGTGTGCATGTGTGTGTACGTGTATGTGTACATGTATGTGTGCTCGTTTGTTTATATATAGTGCTATTGCAAACATATAATTAGAAAGCGTAAACATGTCACGTAAACCGATTCGCAGACTTCCCTAGCGCGTGGTTTCTGTGAAATCTAGATAATTCAAATGCTGTACACCTTGAAAAACTTAAGCTTTTTTGTCATTACAATAGCATAATTTGTTTGTTTTTCCAAGTATTCGGAGCTAGAGAATCGCAGTGGAAAGCGGAGCCCCTCGCGGTTGGACTGCGAGGTCTGCCTGTTCAAAAACTGACACCCATGCATTCGAAACCCCCTCCCCAAACCCCTCCCCTCTGCTTCTTGTTAGTTTCACTGTGTAATTGTGAAAGAATCAAGGGAAGCAACCTTTTTTTCCTCTTTGGCTTTATATTTTCATTTATCGACATTTTTATATATCGACATGAAATCCACTCCACAAAGCATGTCAATATAAGCGGATTATACTGAAACTAAATTTTGAAATTTCCTTCATATGACTGATTTTGATCGGGAGGGTCACATGTGTGAGAGAGTTCAAAAAAGAAAGAGAGTGCTAAAGCTAGAGAGAGAGAGAGAGAGAGAGAGAGAGAGAGAGAGAGAGAGAGAGAGAGAGAGAGAAAGAGAGAGAGATAGATGGTTAAAAAGGGCAGAGAGAGCAATTAGGAAAAACCAAAGTGGTTTGTGTATTGCAGTAGAGGATTGTATTTTGTTGATGTGTTGGAACGATGGTGCCCAATATGCACTACTTTAAGAGTGTCTTTTAAAAAAGTGAGAAATCCAGAGTTTTCTGTTTTCTGTTTATAGACCTGAATCGAACCAGATACCCTCTGTTTTGAAGGTGATCACTGTATCCTGAAGACAAATGCCCCACAAAAAATCAGTTAAAAAAGGCATGGCTTTCTTATATGTGAATCACAATTTAAGGGTATTAAGTATAATAGTTTGGATCTATAATAATAATAATAATAGATAGCATTTGTATAGCGCATATCCCCGCTCAACAGCAGGCTCTATGCGCTTTACACTATATTATTTATGACTGAAACCAACTGACATACTTACACAGCTTAACTTTGAATTGATTTTCAGTTCCCAGATGTAATGAAGCTGGATGAGGACATCCCTCATATCCATGAAGCTGCTAAAGTCAAGTGAGTATAAAAAAGAATGCTGATAGTAGGGGGGGGGGGGCTCTGGTAGGTCTTACTACAGTTCTTTTCCCTCTAATGTTTCTGTCTGTTTGTCATGCTTTTATTTAGCACTAAATGACCATTATTATATATATATATATATAGTGTGCTTCTCTTTACCCAAACAAAACTTAAAAGGAATGAGTTGCTTTCCCTGCAAACTTTGATGTGTTTGGTGGGGGTTTTTCCATTTCCATGATACGTTTCTTTTATGTGGAAGAGAGGGTGGCTTCATGTCGTCCTCCATAAGAGCATAGTTACCCTTGGTACCAGCACTATCTACACCACTTTCATGTTGAGGTGAAAATAAGTAATCACAATAATTTTTGAAGATTATTGTGTCCACCTGTTGATAACATACCCCTTTACAACATCTTCCTTGGCTGGTCACCTCTGTTCTATCGGCCTTCTCATTTTCAGAGAGATGAAAGGGGTTGTATTTCTAAAACAATGGAGCATTTTGTGTACATCCATTGTGATGTCACTGAAATTGTTACTTTTTATTTATCTCGGAATAAACTTTTTAGCTTTGGAATTTCATTTTTCTTTCTCTAAAACTAAACATTGTCTTAGCATACATCTATGAAGTTTGTGAATAGCCTTTCCTTGGGGATTTTTATTTTAACTTTTGTTCAGTGCCAACAAATTTTTCGGAAGATTTCAAGAGAACTTGTTTACCTTTAATGAAACAGCATAATTTATTTTACTACTGGTACTTGCACCTAGACAGATGAGATAGCATCAAGAAGTTTTTCAACTACCTTTTTCTCTGCAGCTTCACGGACCTTGAAAAAGAAATAACAAATCTTCGAAAAGGTTTGCAAGGTATTGAAAAGGTGAGTCTTAGATTGTTGCTTCTGTATGTTACACAACTGACTTTTTTGAAAGGCATATCTGTATCTCCGTTATGGATGTATTTGTCTGCATGTGTATTTGTGAGTGAGTGTGCATGTGTTTGTGTGTGTGTATGTGTGTGTGTGTGTGTGTGTGAGCTTTCGCCAATAGGTGAGTACCTAAAATGTAGCACAGAGGGTTGATGATAGTTTTTAATATTTCATTTTTACTTTAATTTTTCTATTCATGTATATCTCCTCTTACAAAAACATGTATTTACAGACCTACAGATGGCATGCTAAGCTGTGTCGGCCTAATTGATGTTGCATAACATCAAGTCATATTCTTTCAGACATAACTATGATGACACATTTTTTAGAATTTGAAAATAAAAAATTATTTTAAACAGTTTTCTTATTGCTTTAACACTTTTCACCCACGCAGTGCGCAGAGCGCACAGCACTTATCCCCACAGACCAGAATACAGGTGCGGTACATGCTATATCACACTGTTGCCGATCAGCGTCCCGTGGGGAAAAGGGATGATTTCTTACCATCCCCGATTGGCGTCCCGTGGGGGCATAGTCTTAATTATCAAACATATGCATGAAGAGCATATAAAATTATAAGGATCCCAGAAAAAGAGAAATTCTGTATGTCGTTGTGTTTGCATTTGTGTCATCATAGTTAGATTCTATGTCTGAAAGAAATGAAAAACTTTCCATTTATATGTCATAATTTCTCTTATGAAAATTTTGGCTCACAAAGATTCAGAAGGTTCAATTTGACTCACAATGCATGTTGATGATGGAAAAAATGCCACTTTATTCAAATTTTATTATGAATCTCTGCAAAATGTCAAATATCTTTCGAACATAACCACGATGACACATAATGGATAAAAGTTTGTCATTATTTTAGAACATGTCAGCAATTTACATCAAATTTTCCCCTCTCGTTGACGTCAAGCCAAGCCAAGCATGCGTGGTCGCTTCTAGATTTACCACTACTTGACCATTGGAACACAGTGTGATATTAATCATTACTTGGTTTTTAATTAAATGGGACATTTTTCGGACATAACAGCTTTTTTCGAACATAACATGTTAAGATTTGATGATGACATAAGAAAACTTAAATGAATTTGTCTCATCCATCGTTATTCTTCAAGTCATCTTGCATCGCACAAATTTTGTGATTGGTTCTTTCGAACCTAACATATGATGACAGAGTACAAGGCGCTTCAGGATTTCCTTTTACTGCAAAATTATGCACGTTCACAGCCTCGGAATCAGTCAGGGCAGAGAGTAAACATTGAACAATATTATGCTTGTGCCCCAAAATGGCAGAGAGAAATGTAGTCACTGGGAATCGAAATTGCCTTGCGAAATGACTACGCGAGTTATGCTCGAAAATGAAAATCTAGAAGGCTCACAAAGAAAAAACAGCTACAGATATCATTATTCATGATATAGCACCACAAATAATGTAGTTATACAGTAGTCTCCGCCTAAGATCCCACCGCTTACGATCCCGGTTCGCTTAAGATCCCGCTGTTTTAAGAAAACAAATTTTTTACTATACAAAATTCACCAGTAAGATCCCGCTCTGATTCACTCTGAAAGTCTACCTTCGGCTAAGATCCCGCATTTCAGATCATAATATGCGGAACAAAAACGCGAGTGGGACAGCCGATCAACCAAGAGTGAAAAGTTGAGATCAATAAACTGTCCGTCGCGTCGAAGATCAGCCACTATCGCGAATGTGATCATATACACATTGTAAAACTCGATGAAGCGATAAATGTATGCCCCAGACGGGATCACATCGGGGTGTGAACTGACCAACACGTTTGTTTTCCCCGAACATCGCACTCACACCTGAGCTCTCCCCCTAAACTTACATCACTCGCTGGGTGAGTAGGGCCCACACGTTCGCTCCAGGCGGGATCACATTGAACTGAGAACTCTTCCCTGACCATAGCAGAAGTTGTCTCTACTCCCGAATTAGCGTGGCAGACTGAATTTTAATTGGTGTGTTCACAACGTAATGGTGTGTAACGACAAAGGCGGTTGGGGGGGGAGGGGGGCTCGGTTAGAGATGGAAAGCTATAAATTTTCGACAGGTAAGGGGGAGGGGCAACTGGATAAGCGTAGATCTTGAGACTCATGATAGGATAATAAGTGAAAATGGCGCACCTCATCCCACTATGCACTGTGATAGGCCATCAAAGTTAACCACTCTTTGCTCGCCATACGTCATAAACCCACCAAGCGGTCAGGTCAGTTCATTTTAGAGTAGAGGGAGACCATTTTATCGATTGTGAGCCTTAGCATGGGCCACCATAGATTCTTCCCTGGGTTCGTCGGTTAAGATCCCGGTTCGCCTAAGATCCCGCATTTCCTTGCTCCCGAGCACCGGGATCCCAGGTGGAGACTACTGTAGTAGCAAAAGTGTAGAAGGACGAGTTTCTCAGCAATTATTTCATTGCTGAACTTATCGACCAAAAAATGCATCAATTTCAGAACTAAAAATATTTGTACGATTTTTTCTGATGGCCCGACTGCTATTTCTCTGCACCCATAGCTGAAACGTCAAATTAAGCACAACATATACACATTTCAAAGCTGTAGCACCATTTTTATTGGAATAGAAAGGATTTTGTAAGGTATATGAAAAAACCCTCCTATTGGCAAAGGCTCATGAATGTGCTCACGCACACTCTAGCGGTAGCGTTCATTTAGTGTATCTGAGTAGGTAACTGAAAAGTCCTTCTATTCCTCACCTAGCCTACTTGTTTATCTCAATCTGGTCTGTTATTGTCTGTGAGTAGTGTAATCTAGGCCTGCATGATTGACCTTTAAATTAGTAGATGTTCTTCTTTTACATTTAGAGAAAATTGTATTGTTACTTTCCATTAAAGGTCAAGCCTGGTTAAAAAATGAGTTCACTGGGTTTTTTACATGCGTCAGTCCATTTCTTTTATTGGTCATTCCTCTACCAAATCTATAAGCCTACTTTTTAAAATTTGCATGGTTGTCCCTTTGTTTGGTCACTTACCTTTTGCTGAGCAAATGTATCAAGGAAGTCAGATAGAACTTGGTAATCCTTCAACAGTTCATGCCATTTCATGAACTTCAAAATGTCTCCCTGATCCAGGAAGTAGACTTCTTTGAGAACAAGTTGTCAGTGAGTTCACGAGACAAGTTTGTCACTGTCATGAAGGACTTTTGCACAGTAGCTGCTTACAACTTTTGCTCTGTGGAGGAATCTTGTACAGAGATGAAGCAAAAGGTGAGTGTTCTGTCTTCTGCCTACTGTTTTGGTGTCCATGACGTACATAATAGTAGGCCTAATGATAATTCTAGTATTGGCATCTATTATATATTTGGCAACTTGGATACACATGTGTCACTTATCCCATAAAACTACGAAAGCTACAGAGTTGAAAGTTGGCAAGTACCTGCAAAAAGATAGATAGGTCCCCGTGACGGAGCCCGATTTTTTATTTATTCATTTCCTGAATTTAGAAAAATATGTTTGGGTAAAAGTCCCTGTCCTTCTTTGGCCTTTTGTGATTATTCTACTGAGAAATGAAACAAATCTGTGTAGCTCTCCTTCACAACAGAAGTTCATTGTTGCTCTTTTACGTTTGCCTAAGAAACACAATTTAAGAGACCGGGAGAGTAATTTTCGAATCTCACCTGTAGTACGTTGAGACATGATCCTGTTTATGCATCCAAAGAGTTATTTTTAATATAGTGCCCAAAGAGAAAAACTTTTTTATTACTGGGTCGAGATTTTTGGAAAAAATATTTTTGTTTGGTCGGTAGCGTGTAGAAGTGCCATGCAAAGTTCCGTTGGCATAGGTAAATGTGTCAATGAGCTAGAATTTTTTTTTACTCTGTCAGAGGAAAGTGAACAAGCTATAGACACTGCCTCTGTGATTTTTTAAGACATCGGTGAGAGGGTGGTTGTCGGGTGCTTTGATGTGCTCTGCTTCTTCTTTCCTATTAAACATCTATCGTCTTTATCTCCCCTTCTTCTTTTTTATGTTTGTTACTCTCTTGTAACACCTCTAATCTTCATATGACCTTATGCAGTTGCCAGCGCCGTAAAACCTCTACTAAAGCTAAAAAGACGTCGGTGTGTTCCTTTTACAGTGTAGCAGCTTTTCTTAGTGCTTTTTTGTGATGGTGTATGGCGAAACCCGTATTTTGTGATTGTGAAGGGCTAGACAGCAATACACTAATGCAATGTAGATCAAGAGAGGAGTTATATATCAAGGCAGACCTAATCTAAAGCAATATAGATCTAGAAGCCAGGTGTGATTGTGAAAGGCTAGACAGCAATGTAGATGTAAAATGCCTCCGCGGCATAAACCAGTAGAAGCAGTGACACTAAAGGCGTCGACCCTGAGCAAAACCGGGTACTCTGCTAGTAAAGTTATATAATGCCTTCCTTTATAGACTTTTAGCTCAAGATGCTTCACAGAAGCTAACAATGAAAGAAAAAGGACTTAAAAGGCACAGACTGAAGGCTAAGCAAAATTTTTCTTCTTAAAACAGTTCTTGCAATGACTAAAATTCAAAATTAGAGATACAAATATATCAGGCTCGAATAAGTCATGTTATCAGTGGAATGCATAGAAAATAACACACATTCTATAAAACTAATACAACAGGCATGCTTATACATCATCGGCCAGCTATTGAGATGTACTAATCCCAAATTGTAGTTTCTTAATCTATGGTCTTTGTAATATTTTGTCAAAAGTCAAATTCTAAATGTTAAAAAGGCAAGGGGAAAAAGTAAGGTAAGGTCAATTGTAAAAGAATGAAACCATTTTTTATTTTCCTTCTCTTATAAAATTTTGCTCTCTGTGCTTAGTAGGCTTACATTTCAACATCTCTCTGTCTCTCTCTCTCTCTCTCTCTCTCTCACACACACACACACACACACACACACACACACACACACACACACACACACACACACACACACACTCTAGCAAGTCCAGCATAACTTGTAAGTAATAAATTATAGTTAGTTGGGGTAAGTGTTGGTTTCTTTGTTTTTCATTTGTCGAATTACATTTCAAATTCACAAGTTTTGTGAAAAATATAGGTTGAAGTTTATGCATATGTGAGGCAGCTTGGTGAAATCAGGAACTCGTCAAGATAATTAAAGTAAAGAAATTGACATTATTCCGCTCGTTTGGCGATTTTTATCAAAATTTTGTTTTCCAGTTTAACACCTTCTATTTTTATTTTAAAAACCCATTTCAGTGCGAATTATATCGAAAACGTTGATTAAAGGCACAAAAACATGAACGTTGTCAGTTTCCACTGACTTTGAGGCTCTGTAAATAACCAAACTTTGGCGGCCATTTTATCACTAATTTTACCTCTGAAACCAGGCTATAGTCTGTCTGTCCTCATTGAATCACAAGTATCTCAACTTGTACTCTACATAAATGGGTAATTCTTTCATCAAAAGCAAGGCAAATGACCATGCTTTAAGGCAACACTAATAAATCCACATGCCGAAAAATTGACGAGTGCCTGATTCCACCACATCATGACACATAGATCTATAGCATTTTATGATAAAATGCTGATTTGACGTGCAAAAAGAAGGGGGTTATTAATTAAAAGTTTTGTGGAAAAAACATTTTAAGTGAAATATTCTATCAAAGAAAATCCAATCTTGATGAATTGTTTAAAAGTATATATTTTTGCATAAAACATTGGTTTTTTTAGGAAGCCTTTCGTAATATACATTTTATCTTGAGTATTTGCTTTTATTAAGGAAATGAGTATACCCACCCGGGGAGGGAATAATTTTTTTTGTTATTCCCACCCGGGCTGGGTCACTTCTCATCTTTCCTATCTATCTGGATCTAGTTTTATCAAATGTAATACAGGCTGAAGGCCGACCTCTAACCTGGGGTGAGAAATAGATCTCTAGACATATTTCCACTGGCAGATCTAAATGCTAGATCCAGATCTATATCTAGAGTCTAGTACGCCTCTACAATGTAATGCTGGGTCTGGAAATATTGAACACACATTCAAACAAGAGTGCTCATGTTAAGGGGGAAAATGTCACTTTTAGCTTTTGATTTTTTTTTCCTGGTCGTATCAAGGGGGGTGGAATTTAAGAGAAAATTTTATTTCCTCCCGGGGAGGGAGTAAAATATTTTAAAAGTCCCCTCAGGCCGGTGGGAATAAGAGAAAATGTTATTCCGGCAGCCTTTAGTAATGAATAACAGTAAACTGGTTTAGATGTCACAAAAAAATGTGAAAGCCTTTTAGCTTCTTCACAAATTAAAGGACTTATGTAAGCTTTCTTCCACAATTCTCTATAACATACTTTCTTTTTTATTTTTATTTTTAAACATAACTCCAAAATCTTTTATTTCATTGAAAATAGCATGATTTCACCATTGATGGACTTACTGCCAAGATTTAATTGTTTGATTTTGTATTTTGTTTCAGCTTATTAAATTTCAGATTTGCCGTTCTTCATATTCAATTTTGTAGTAAATAATCCATTGCTTGAACTAGTGTTCAGCTCTTGCAACACCTCATAATATTGCACTGAGGGACTGATTTATTCAACTGGGTGTCTTAAGTATATATAATGGCAATTAGAATTAAACTTACAAATATATCTAAGAATGGTAATGATGAAGACTCTAGATTTTAAGGCAAGGTGAATTGATTTTCGCTTTTTTTTATCTGTCTGACAAGTGAGAACAAAACCCTTCTAAAACTGTCCCACCTAAACCAACCCCCCCCCCCCCCCCCACCAGGGCAGTACGCCACTGACTGAAGTTGTCTTTAGGCCATTCCCTAAGTTGGGAATATTAACCTGTTCTTATGCACAGCAGAATTGTAAATGGGCTGATTTATCAATGTCATGCTCATACTGTGCCGGAACAACATAGGGGGAACTGCTGCATTTTCTTTTTTCATCCTTACTATAGTCATTTTTTCCTCTACTTCTTTTGTATCTTTGTCACTCTCTTGTGAACTGTTATTTCCTGGGTGCCGTAATAGTCGAAGCAGACTTTGTGCTGTTGAGGCTAGAGAGGTGAGCAGAGTAAGCCTGATTCCCCGTTTGGACTTTCCTTTTGTTCATGACTCTTTTATTTGTCTTTCTAAAGTATGAGAAAACTCTCAAAGCCTTCTGTGAGGACCCAAAGTTAACCCAGCCGGACGACTTTTTTGGCTCCTTCGACAATGTCCTCACAGCCATGATTGATGCCAAGAATGAGAATGAAAAATTCAAGAAGCAGAAAGAGGAAGAGGAAAAGAGGAAACAGCTGGAGGAACAGGTTCACAATTTTCACAGTTTTTGTTTAACCCTCTTTGCACCATAAATCACCATAAATGGTCGGCAGGTCAGCACAGCAGAACCAAAATGACGGCCAGCTGATGGCTTCCCAGAACCGAATTATTTCTGTGTTTTTCAGTTTCATGGGATGCAGCAAGAAAAAAACTTACCTTTATTTTTTATCTAAGTGACGTATTACAATTGAAATTTCACTTACCAAAACCTAGGACGTCAGCATCTAAAACTAGAGTCAGTAGGCCTATGGCTTTACAGCTGGAAAGCCTGTAAAAGCTAGTATGGCAACATGACAGAAAGACCGGTTGAGGTCGGTATGGCTCAAAAAGGGTCAAACAAAAATAATTTTGTATTTTCCATTGTTTATAGAAGTTGGAGTGATTAGATGGTTTGTGTAGTATCTGATATTTATTGTTGTGCATGGTATGGTCAAATGTTGAGTATCTTGGTGTTATCTTCCTTTTTCAGGGTTATTCTCATTTCCTTTTGCTTCTCTTGTATCTTCTCTCTTTATTCTGTTTGTCTATTTGTCCATCTATTTGTACTGTCTATCTGTTGATTAGTCTGTCTATCTTTCCCCCTTTCTCCTTCCTTTATATTTGGCATGTCTGCCTTTTTTTCTTGCACTGGCATTATCTCTCTCTCTCTCTGTTGTCTTAACCTTTTTACTGCTGTAGTCTTAAGCCTATTCACCCTTGGTAGCTGTGGGGCATGCACTAGTCCCCAACTGGCTTGCCTAAAGCCGGGGCAAAAGATCAGTCATAACTTAACACGCTAACTTAAACCGCAGAATGGGCCAAAACTGCTTAACTCAAGGCTTTCAGGATACTAAAATCAATCTGATCGCCCTGTCTTTCTAAAAAATGTTAATGCTTTAACTTTCTTCGTCGTTTATGCTCAAAACAAAACTAGATACCCATGTGATACATTTTTACCGGCACAGAAATAGCTGTTCATTTGTGGTTGTTTCTATTTCTTTTCGTCATCTTACTTCATTTTATCATAGTTTGTCTCAATATTTAACCCTATCCTTATGCCTGGGGTCATTTCGTACCCTAGGGGTTGTATTTTTCGCATTTTAGAGTACTTCTAGTGAGAAGATCTCTTTGAAACCCAGTATTACTCAAAAATTCATTTTGACAGATTGATATGCAAAGCAAATCGCAAGTGGTAATGTATCTTTTTGACCGGTGGTCACATTTCAAAATGACTTTTTTTTTTATCGCAGTGGGGTTATTTTGTACCCCCACTCTCCAAAGAGGAAAACAACTCAGTTATTCTTATACGTGTCTAGCGGGGTAACAATCGACCCCAACGCATTGTTTACATAGAGTAATAGTAATCGCTACTTCAAAAATTTCTAATATCTGGGTTTCTGTTAGGTATTGTTCGCACTCTTGCAGTTGAGCTGGGTATATCTGAAGGCCTTATCATCCTATATCGTTTTATATTGAGACTGATTGTTGTTGGCGGGTCTGACACACACTGCATCACTGAACAGTTGAACAAGTTACGGTACTTCTCTTTTTGAAGATCATCCGACTCCCTCTAACATTTATAATCAAACCTAACCACATACTGGTTAAAACACTGAATATTCGTAAACTATCAAACCTAGATCTACTGGTGGAAAGGATGAATCTATTATTTATGTATATCAGTCGTATGGCGCTCGTCTGGGAATCCATTCATATGGATTGCCCGTGTTCAAACCTAGCTGGCATCAAATTTTGTAAACATAAGAGAGGGAGACAGACAGACAGACAGAGAGAAGAGAGAGAGAGAGAGAGAGAAGGAAAGTAATAGAAATATCTTTGGTCAGTATCAAGTACCGGGAGGAAGGATGACTATGGATACAATGGAGAGGAGAGTGATGTGGCTAGTGAGTCGGAGGACGATAGGAAATGAGGGAGAAGATACTGACATGGATGAAGTAAATGGAGAGGAGGAAGAGGAAGCTGAAAGTGATAAATGGTGACACTTGCACCAGACTTGCAAACTATGCCACATGCAGCTTAGGAAACAACACTCTATCGGAGGGAAACTGGAATACGTCTACACTATGAAGGCAAAGATGGGACGCTGTGATACAGGGTTGCTCCAACGCTAACGTACACACCTTGAAGCAACCTCTTACTAGGCAGATGACTAACCGAAGACATTTTCAGATAGTAAATGCCGCTTTCATTCAAACTTTTCGTTACTGCAATGACGATGAAAAAAAATCGAACATAATAATTTCTGGTATCAATGCACTTTTTCATCCAATTTAGCCCAGCGGTCAAACGCTGTAACCTTGTCTGCTTCAGCCAGAGTCCTTAGCGCAAGATTTGTTTCGAGCACAATTTCTTCTTCGTCTTCCACTTGCTGTCCTGTAGTTCTTTAAATTTGGGGAAACGATAAAAGTTACATGATGTAAGTCTCTGGAATAGTGGGGATGTTCAAGGATTTCCCACTGCCAGGAGTCCAGGAGATCGGTGACCTTTGAGCAGTGTGCACAGGCGTGTTGTCATGATGGAAGACAATACCTTGCTCAAGCAGACCCGGCCACGTTCTTATGACTGCTGGTCTCAACTTTATTTGAAGAATCATCTTGTAATAATAGTTAACAATGTATGTTGAGCCAACTGGAACCAGCCATTTCAAAATCAGTCGAGAAACACAATGTGCATAATTTTCAAAGCACCTTGCTTGCGCCGAGCTTCTGGAGTAACAGTGATCCTGGGTTTCTCCATTCTGCTGATTGTCTTTTCAGTTCTGGATCCCACAAATAAATCCACAATGTTGGTTTTACAGAACAGGAATTACTTCTCTGGGAAGACCCCATACATGTAGTATTAGGTGGTCAAGAGTTATTGGCTAATGAGCGAGAAGTGTTGCGCATGATAAAAGTAACGGTTGATGGTTGATGTTGATGGTGGTGAAGTGCTTTCGGTGGGCGGTCATGGTGGTGGTTTTGATGTTGTAACCCCCATTGATGACTGTAGTTGTGGCAGCTATGATGGTGATAGTGTTTTCGCCTTTGACATCGAGTAAGGCTTAGGTCATTCAGCACCAGGAAGTACATGTAGATTCGGACAACAGTTAGACGTAGAAGAAAGAATTTGAAGGAGCAAACCACACCAGAGCTCTCCACAACCATTCACAAGATCCCTGTGAAGATGATAAATAGTACAATGTAATAAAGAATCATAGAAAAGAAGGAGCATGTAAAAATTATAGTACAGAGCAAAGTGAGCCGCCTAACCAGCCCCCGTAAACAGGAAACTGGATTTAGAGTGCATGTGCTGCTTTCAAAAGCAGCACTATGTACAAGATGTCTGTTTGTACATGATTTTGTACGGCAGATCTGTTGCATGCAGCATTTGCACCAGATGTATGGTACTCCAGTTGAAGAGACTTTCTTGTACATGATGTATATGGAGCTATGCTCTAACCAAACAAACAAACACAGGAGACGAAGCAGATGATGATGCATGATGTATCATTTTCACTGAGAAGTACAGTATATATATCTCAGTTCCTTACTTTCTGTAGGCCCCATTGTACCTGTTATTATTTGCTACCGTATGGAAAGGAAAATGTGTGGGCCATTTTTATTCACTTTTGTTAGTTTCTTGATGATTTGTTAGGGCGAGTGATTGATGGGCGCTCTGGTGTGATCTACTCCTTATGTTTCCTTGTGTCAATAGTCCCATAAAAAACAATAAACAATCAAGCCCAAGCTAGCTGTTTTAGGTTGCCCTAGTCTGTCCCCTGTTCCCTCCCTCTTGTCCCCCTAGTGCACAGGACAGTGAAGAAAAATCCCAGGAAAATACAGCAGTGTCGACAGGTCCTGCGCATTTTATGTCACTATCGGCACAATATGCCTCTACCATTTCAGGGACGACCAAGAACAGGAGAGAGTGCAAAATCTAAATTTAGTATGAGTAGAAGGAGCAGAAAACGGCAATAGCAAAGTCAGAAAGAAGGAGAAAACCACACCAAAGAAACCAAGCTCTAGTCATCTTGTCAAGAAGGTTCTCAAATAACCAGTAGAGTCGAGACAGATTAGGTTTCTATGATAATTAAATCTAATTTAATTAATGTGAAACAACAACAACAATAGAATCCAACCACAAGAAAAAGAAATGACGTTCGAATACTGAATGTATTCAAAATTAGGTTTACGATTCACACAAAAATAGACTCGATTACCTATCTTGAGAAAGTTCTGCCCCGCCTCATTAAGTCTAGAACTAAGAAAGCGAAGTTCTAGAACTGAAAGAACTAGCTAATTTTAGACCCAACCTTCTTTGAAATATGAAGGCTTGAGCGACATTAGTGTTAGCCAGCTGAACCCTCGACGCATAGATCTACAAAACTAGTTGCCGCCATTTTGGATCGTAAAGCCTTTGATCCCAGCCGTGAGTTAGAATACTTGGGGTCTTTTGTTACCCCCGCAGCGTACGGATCAGATTAACGAGTAAATTTCCTCTTTGGAAAGTGGGGATACAGAGGTACGCCACGTCGTATGGATACGATAGTAAAACATGACATACGGATAGGGTTGACAACTTTGCTTTTTCTGGGACTAACAATAAAGGAAATGTATTTTTCATATCCAAGGGAAAATCTTATTTCTTTTGGAAAACCTGGAAACATGGATAAGAACTGAGTTGTTTATTTTGTATATTAATACCCGTTACATCTATTCACATAGACTGGCCATGACTAGCGCGCAGGCCTTTCGCATATTATATTCATAGGCCAGGTGAAATGAGTGAATATATCTAAATCTTCTTTAAACCCACCTTCCCTCTCACTCTCTCACTCTCACTCTCTCCCTCTCACTCTCTCCCTCTCACTCTCTCTCCTTCTCTTTCTCTCTCTCTCTCTCTCTCTCTGTCTCTCTCTCTCTCGCCATCTCTCTGTCTCTTTCCCCCCACCCCCACCCCTCTTCCTTCCCCCTCCCTCTCTTAATAATGTTGCTTTTCGTCACCCAGACTCAAAACTTGGGCTAGTTAATTTAAGAGACATCTGACCTGTGTGTATTATTTTCCATTTTCATGTAAGCTGAAGAAGGAGCGAGAGAAGAGAGTCCTTCTCCGTCGAGGCAGCAGCACCGCAGATAAATCAAAGGCTCTCATCAATGTGGAGAATGGGGACAAAGGTAATATGTGGCTAGACAGAGTGGTTTATTGTAGGTGGGACTTATTACTGGATGTGCGTAGGGGTGACTCTTTTATTGAACTGAAAAATTCAATTTCAGAATGTTCCACTTGTGCTGTGAATGCTTATGGTCTCTGAAACAGAGCAGTGCTCATCTCTACTTCATTTACACCATTCTACTAGCTATTCAAGCTGTTGCAATGTTCCTTGGAAATTTTTTTTTAGAAGACTGAGACAAAAACAAATGCCTGAAAGGGTTGTTTCATCGTCTATATGTGCCATTGTTCTTGTAGACTGGTGCTGACAGAAGATATGGGGGGGGAGGGGAAGAAATTATGCTCTGCCTCATCAACAGCAGGTGCAGCTTACATAGTGTTGGCGAATCCCTGTTACCAAACAACCTCTGTGACATAGGAGTGGCATGATATCTTCATATCAATGCATTCTATGTCTTGCAGCCTACTCTTTCATGCAGATCTGTCAACTGCAGGTCCAGCTAAAAATGAGGCTGTGAAATCCCACAGCATGGTTCTTGCCTTTGAAAGACCTGTTTGTGTCTTGCTGGGCATTAACCTCTTTCAAAAACATAGAAAATTAGGCTGACTGAAAAAGGTTTTCAAATGGTGAACTTAACGAATGTTGGCTGATTTTTTAAGATCAACCAGTTCTTTGTCTAAAAATAGCAGAGACAATTGAGAAAGTCTTTATTCTCGTCGTAAATTGCCTTTGAAAACATGAGGGTGGATTAAAATATACTGAATTTTCACTATAAGTGTCATTTTTCTCAAAATGTCTTTTTTTTTTTTTTTTTTTTTCCAGTTTTCCCCCCTGCTCCTTTAGTTTTTATCTTTTTGACATGAAATTTTTAGGAAACTTTGATAGCAAGGTTGCCATCAATGTAACAGAGACATATTTGCTTTTAAAAATACAACACTCTTCCATTGACAATCGATTACGCAACCAAAATTTAGAAAAGGTTTATATACATTGGAAAAATTCTCATATGTTTTTTTCTTTTAACACTTAATGAAAAAAACTTGCAGTTTCTTTGATAGGGACCGGTTCAGATATACTCCCACCAAATTTTCAGTCATAAGAAAGCCTTAGGAATTTGAAATTCAATGTCTATTTTCAAGATGGCGGCCGTGCTGTGCAAAAATAGAAGTATGTATCAAGAGATTTTTTTCTATGCCTAACTTATATGCATACTAAGATTTGATCTTGAGCAACAAACGTAGAAAATGGACTTTGAGGGTCGCTCCTCCCATCAAATATCAGTGACAAAATTTTGTGCAGTTGACAGGTGAGTTTATAACTTGACGTAAGGTGTCACTGACAAATGATTGTGTTGTTATCAGGTGAGTTTGATGACTTGATCTCGGCACTGAGGACTGGCGATGTGTTTGGAGAAGACATGGCTAAGATGGCTAAGAGAAACCGTCGGCGCGTCAACAACGGGGCTGACATGTCACGAGAGCGTCAAGGGAAAGCCATAATTTCATAACCATAATGGTATATTTGTATGATTTCGTTCTTAAGTTATAGAAATTTATTTAGGACATACCAAAGTAACCCCACCCCTCTATATATGCTCTCAAAACTCGCTTTTTATTTTCGTCACCTATTCCCAACAACCATACTCAAGCAAATCAAACTGACAAATATGCTCATCTTCTTTATTCCCTTTTTCGGTACTTAACCAATGCAAGTTTTATCCCTTCTTCACCTCATTCTCCCCTTTCATCTAAGATTTATACCAAATTTTACGAAACATTCAGAAATCTTAACACACATTTTGGAAAAACAAGTTGGTGCAAACAGTATTAAAATTATCACTTGTGTGACCTCAAAACCAATCATCAGTGGCTTCAGAAGGATCAGGATTTTTTCCAGTTTCCCAGCTGTATGGATTGGTGATCAAAGTGACATTGGCTGGAGTTTCTATAATGTCCTAGAATAATACAGAAGCAGAAACAACAAGTCATGATAAGTTACCCTGTATGCAGCAAGTAGCCAACACATGGACATAACTAGTTCATAAGCTGTATATGCAGCTAGTGATGTCCCATGTGAAACATTTCTCTCTTATTCTGTTTCTGTAGTTTTTGAATTGATGGCTATCAGCAACATTGTGTCCAACTTTCTCAGGAAAATTTGTCCAAGATGATTAAGAGAAAGTTATACAAAGTTACTAATTGATGATATATATTCAAAAAATGTAATCAAATGTAGGAAAGGAAAACAAGACAAATGAACAAGCTTTAAGATGATACCAATAACTCAACGTACCCAAAAACGGATGAGAGCCTGCATCGTGACACATTTTATCCTTTCAAACTGTCAAAATCTTGGAGTTCTAGATCGGACATCTGCTATATGCTTTATCAGAATAAGAGCAATTTCTTTTCTTTTCCTCATTTGTATGTTGAGAGAACTTTGTTAATGCATTCACTGTGCAATATTTATGTTGTTCAATGTAGTAAAACATCATTCATGGTAGCCTTTTATTTCAGCTGTTGCATTTAAGAATTTATTTTTATTTGTGTATGTGGTCTTTCCGTTTTAATATATTTGTGTGTATTGGTGTATGCATGTGTGTGTGTTTGTGTGCTTGGGTGGATGCACTTACATATATGTGTGTGCACACTTTCACAATGTATTCAAAACTGTATTTGAGGTGTGCTTTTGTAATAAGGATTTAATAAATGCATAATGTATTTTCATGCCTAGATCACATAAATCAAAAGTAGGCAATATATACTTGCAGCTATGTGTAGGAAATTTATTTTATTTGTCTATTTTTGTTTTAAGTTTTTTAATTTTTTTGTCAACACTTTTGCTGCTGTTGTAAGTAGTTTTAAAAAGAATTGTAATAGTGTAAAGAAAAGGGTAATTCATGAGGCTATTTGTCTGGTGGAAAATGAGTTTAGTAATGACTTATCATCCATTGCATTTGTTTCAATGATTCTTCTGTACTTTTGAAAAGTCATGGTTTTTGTTTTAAAGAACTCCATGTACTGGTATTAACAGAGGGCTTAGCTTCTTCTGGTGATTATTTAGCATCTGTGTGTTTCCTTATTGGCAGTGAATTCCTCATAAGCGTTGTGCAAAAAACTTGATTTGTACTAAGTGTTTTTTTAAATGTTATGTTGTAAGATTGGAAAACGACAATCAGTTAAGTCTTATTTAATTAAAGACTGCTGTTTTTGCCTTTGAACTCTGACTCTGTTTTTTTTTGTTTTTTTGCAAATCTACTCAATTTGTTTTTTGGGGTTTTTTTGCAAATCTACCGTAACCCCTTTCTGACAGCACATATCGTATATGCCAAATATTGTGAGCCAAGATCCTGTCCTACCACACAAAAAACATCCTGAAATGCTCCGTACATGATATAATAATACAATAGCTTTAAATGGAATTTTGATGGACACTTACGAAATATTCAAAATCTGTAATGTCTAAATGTAGGATTCACATAACGAAGTGACTATTCGGACTCGAGTCCGAATATGAAAGAATGTTATTTAGACTCTGATTCTTGTCCAGCATGGCATCACTTCCGACTTCCTGTGACTCATGACTCCGCTTCCTGTCCTGCCTCACTCATGACTCGCCTCAGGCTGGGTAGAGACCGGGATCACTTCGGGCAAAATGGTGTTTTGTGCAGGAGCCGAGTTTTTATCTTATGATGAATTTGAGGCCGGCCTGAAAAGTTATAGCCCTTCTAGTTAATGTTTATTTGTCTAGAGGTCATCAGAAGTAATGCAACAAGATCAGGATTCATTGGAGGGGCTAACAATAATGACAGTTAGATGGATTATGATAGCTCATCCAGAGCGTCGGGGGCCAATACGTAATGTATAACAAAGTGTCGAGTGATGAGAGATTTGCGTGGCTATCTTAGACAGGTAGGCTATTTTTGGTTTGTTGCTTGATGAAATATGGTGCCGTGGCTGTGTTAAACAAGTGATCATTTTACCTAGTGAAATTGTATAGAAAAAGCACTTGGGGGGAAATGGAAAGTGGCCACTTGTACAGGTGGCCGTCATGGCATATCCGGAAATCAGTTAAGCTGTTTAAAAACTTTCAACACATAACAGTTGATAAGAGCACCAGAGTTGAATACCAGACAAAATAAAAATGAGCAGTGCAGTTAAGATCAGCAAGTTGAAAAAATTAGCCCTGTATTAGCAATAGGGGAGGGTGGTTGGAGGGCACCACTCACAGGTGTACTTCTTTATTTTTCCTTCCCAACACTAAATTACCATTATTGTGTCAGTGTTCTTCTCCTTACTCAAACAAAACTCAGAAACAGTCAAAATTGTCCAAGACAGAATCGCAAAGGAGCTGGGGAAAAAATTACGTCTAGACTGACTTTATCCATCTGGGGGGGGGGGGATATCCAGAGATCCAGCATGTACATGGTAAGATCAAGAGGCGCCTGTCTGGTTGGCAAGCAGTGGCCAGTTTTTTACATCTCCAAGTATTATCAATCTCTATCTGATAACAGCTTGCACCAGTCATACTTACTATATATATCTATTGTCACCAGCGATTGCATCTCATAGAATGACTGTTTGACCAATGAAAAACAAAAATTGAACAGCTCTTTTGTTTCCACCCTTCGGCTCACCCATCTGTTTAATAGTAATAATTACCTCAATCAACCAGTGCCACCCAATCGTGCATGTAACAATGATTTGAGGAAATTTTTTTTTCTGCTGGCCATACGATCAGGGCGGCAGACATTGGTCAAATTGATTTCAAACCTCGGACTATACAGGGAAGTTTCCGTGTTGTAGCTCCACTAGAGTACTTTCACAAGCAAGGGTGAGATTTCACATTCACACCAACCTGACCATCTGCATCGCTCAGGGCTCACATGATGGCGTAACTATAGCTGCCAAGCCCCAGCCCTTCCCCTGCTCCTGGCCTGGCAGTATGGCGTTAAGGTTAGAGCAAATAGAACCAAACTTGGGAGTTTTGTTTCAAATCATGGAAGAGCAGGAAAAGCATTTTTTGTCTGGGACAGTTCAAAACCCTCTGAAGAAAAAAAATTTCTCTTTCTGTTTCCAATTAAGTTGGTTTCCATTTTATAGACGTACTTTGATTATATAAGAATTCATCAAGAGGGAGCGGGGGGATTCTGTTGAATGAACGACAGAAGCTCATTTGCCCTTCAACCCTTACAGTAAAGATACTGTTTTGACGATTTCCAAGAAAGCCTGTACAGTAGAAGACCAGGTAAATTTCCCTGTGGCTCCTGTGCATTATGAATAGCTATAGTAATCTGTCTGTAAATATTTTTATTATTTCCACTGTGATTAACATGGCAGAGGTATTTTAGTGTGTAATGATGTATTGTAGTGATGAATTGAATTAATTCTCATCAATATGAACAAACTGACACGTTCAGAACAAGTGAAAGCTTTTGCACGTTTATCACTCAAGAAAATACCAGACATCGTAAAAGACGCATAAATCCTTAAGAGTCTTCAAGACTTTTGATCAGCTTTCTTTTCTTTGATGCACTATTTCTTGTAATATCACTGAACGATGTTCCCACCGATCCATGTTAAATATTTGATATGTCCAATTGTCAATTTGCTATTTCATGTCTGTAAAAAGTAACATTAACAACCTTTGTAAATAGAGCTTTTTGTATGTTTGTTCCTATCTGAAATCAAGGAGGTAGCCTAATATAATGGAATCTGCACCATGGACAGCAACCCGTGTCAGATAGAAGCTCTCTCTCGCAGTGGAATTTTTTCATATATTTTATAATCAAAATCATAGGGGGCTGCACTTTGTGAAAAGGAAACAAAATTTCTGCGCTCAATGATTCATAGACAAAGGCAAATGGTTAGCAATCAGGTAAAGCTGATCCAGACCTTCTTCTGTTTTGTGTTCATGTGAAGGTCTAAGATCTTAAATGAAGGCCCTTTACTATCACCGTAAAATATAAAACCAGTAATAGCAAACCCCCC